TGGTGTTGGAGCTGAGAGTTTTACATCTTGACAGGCAGGCAACAGGAAGTTGACTGACTGTCACACTGAGTGAAGCTTGAGAAAAGAGACCTAAAAGCCCGCCCCACAGTGACACACTTCCTCTCTCAAGACCTCACCTCCTCATAGTGTCACTCTCCTTGGGCACCATTTTCTTTCAAACCACTACACATGTCCTTTGCTTGCAGGGGTTGGAGGGCCTGGTGGTTATTCTCTTATGAGCAGTGGTCCTATTGCATCAGGGTCCTGCCCTCATGACCTCATCAAACTTCTCTGAGCTCATTTAAAATCCTGTTTCTAAAGTCAACTACACCGGAGTTTAGGGAATCAGTGTGTGGACTTGGGGAACACACATAATTCCATGAATAACATGTGCTGGGGGAAGAGATCGTAAGCTTCCTAGGGTCCTGAAAACAATAGTAACAAGGGCAGAAGCAGGGCCAAGCACTGTGAATTCCAGAACAATCACAGTCACTTAAGAGTGAGGGAAGAGAGTATAATTAAACAAATACTTGGTCCATTTCCTCTCAGCGAGTGAGTGATACATTGCCAGGGTAACAAGGGAGGTTTGGATATACCCCAGCTACTGAAGAAAACAGAGCCGTGTGACCTCATTTGTATTGGTAGATGCTGCCTTCAGGGAGGACAGCTCTGTGATATCAAATGCCTCTACAGAAGGCACAGAGTTCAGTGCGAGCGAGAGTTGGCAGCTAATTGCATCCCTTGGCACAGAGACACACGAAGCAATGAGCCAGAGGAAGCAAATCTCCTGGGATTTATAGAGACCTAGGCAGCATGCCTTCCATGGCCCTGAAAAGAGGGTGGTGGTGACCGGATGTATAAGCACAGCAGGCAGACTCCGTGGAGCCTCTGTACCCCAGGCTGCCTGCCTGGGAGCACAGCAGGGTCCACCTCTTTCTACACTCCTAGCCACAGGCACACAATGGCCGCCAGCTCATCCTTCACTTCAGATTAGCAATCCCCTGATCCTCTGGGGGGTTTTAGTTCCCAGCTGAAGAGACAGCTTAACCCAGCTGTCAAAAGCACATCTCCATCGCTGTGAGCATGGCTCAATGCTCGTCCCGGGTGGGTGCGCTGAGCAGCTCCGCCCATGCACCCAGGCATGAGTGAGGGAGTTTGATTGCTTTCAGATCCAGCCAAGAGGTATGTGCACCTAGAAATGGCTGCTGTGGGGAGACACTGACAGGAAGCTCTCAGTCTACATAGCTCCTCCTTTCCCAAGTAGCCAGGTAGCCCTGGACTCTACAGACCCGGCCTCTTCTTGCTCTACCTGTGACCTGGAGTCTGGATCTGGGCATAAGGACTCCAGCAGCAAAGACCAAAATGATCCCTGGAAAACCTACAGCGTCTCTTCACATTTTGTTTCTGTTCCAAAGCAACACGTTCTCACCAGCTAGCTACCTGATGAGTGAGGTCCCGATTTCAAGGTTGGCTCATGACATTAGGAGTTGCTCAGTGGTTAGGAGCACATTCCACTCTTCCAGAGGACCCAGGTTTGGTTTCCAGCTCCTACATGGCTGCTCCTAACCGTCTCTAACTGCAGCTTCAGGGATCTGGCACCCTTTCTGGCCTATGCAAGCATTGCATTGAGTGCACATGGTACAGAGACACAGATGCTAGCAAAATACCTACCATAAAATAATTTTTTAAAAAATTAACTCAATGATAGTATAACAGAATTGCTAGCATCTTAGAATTTTTGAGAACTCACAGGGGTTAGATTCATTGTTTTATAGACAATAGAACCAACAGGCAGAGTTCAAGCTGATGTAACCCCCTGTAACACCGCATGATCTCTAAAGTGGCCCCTGGTAGGGGTCAGGAACCAACCACACCAGCTGGAGTTGTATTTATTTTGCCCTTGTTTAGGTTCTTGTCTGGAACAGAGCTGTGTGGCTCACTGGGAGGCTCAGGTGATGTTCTTTATTGGGAAGCCCTCCTGGTCTCTCTGCCTATGGCTCACTCAGATTCAGCCAGAGAAGCCCCATCATGGGAAGGAACAGTTGGCCTTTCCCTTTGCATTTAGAGAAGAAACAGATATCAGGAATGTGTGGAGAGGCCCCCAAACAAGGTGTCTTGGTAGATGGACCTGCGGTCTCTATTCAGGTAGCAGAGTCACACTCTTTGCTCCCACTGGGTACCACTGCTTGTAGGATTCACTAGCCTCAGCCTCCTGAAGTAAATGAGAAATAGTTCCAGGGACATGACTTGTTTACAGCATAGGACGAGGATGGGAAGCTTAGGGGAAGGAGGCATATCAGAGTTAGAACACAAAGACCAGAGCCAAGAAAGACAAGCTTGCTTCCTGTTCTCCGGCCCAAGGCAGGAGTGGGTTAGCTTGAAACAGAGTCAATAGGGCTTTGATTTTGATGCCCCTTGAGAGACAGAGGCAAGAGCACCTACCAGGAGCAAAGCCAGGAGTGAAACGTGGCTGCGCTGGCTTCCCAGACAGGCTCAGAATTAGAAAGATAAGCAATAATGCTGGGTATAGGGTGGGGAAGGGTGAGCACTGTCATAGGAATTTTGGGGGTATTGGAGAGACTTGCTTTATCTTAAAGTCTCCCACAGATGTCAGGCACAGAGGAATTGTTTGCCTCAGGGAGATTTGGTGGTTATCTATGGGGACAGAGAGGCAGACAGGGAGGAGAATGCCTCCAGCTCTGGTTTGACCTGTTGGGGCTGGTTCCTCACTCTGTCTCACCACAATTGTGTTTTGTCTGACTCCCTCATAGCCCAGAATTCCTGGGGTCTGCATGTAGTCCAGATGGCTGTGGTTCCTGTTGCTGGAACATTCTGGGCTTACCCCATCAGGTTCCAAAGAGCAGCACTTGGCGCAGTTCCCAAGAGGCCAGTGAGACAGGACAATGGCTGTCTGCAGCTCTGCCACGGCCCTGAAGACAATTGACAAAGGAGCAGAGAAAATCCCCGCCTAAGCCCCCGTGATAAGGTGCAACCAGGGTCCTGACTCACTGTGAAGTCGTCAGTCACCAAGCATGTCGAGACTATAAAGAAATCTCCCAACGCCCTTTGCACCTGTGTCTAACAGGACACCCCAGGATGACCAAGTGAGCAAAGGCTCTCGGGGCTCAGAACCACACAATGCTTCCTGAGCGGTACCAGTGGCCACAGGTGAGGGAAGGGCCCTGAGAAAGGAGGGTGTGCTGAGCATCCCCATGGGTCCACTGCTAACCAGAGACAAACATTTATATAGGGTGTTAGAATGGTGAGGGTAGAAGGACAGGGTTCTACCGTCTACTTGGGATGGAGTTCATCTCTCTGGCATTCCTGTGCTCGGTACCTGGAACAATTTTCTGGCCCAAAGTGGGCCAAGTTGCAAAAGATTGAGAAATAACCCCTAATTAGGAAGAGATTATTTCATGATCCAATATTTCTGGAGACTGGAGAGTGAGTGTAAGTGGGGTCCAGGTCCAGTGGGCGGGTCCCTGTCCAGCGGGCGGGTCCCTGTCCAGTGGGCGGGTCCCTGTCCAGCGGGCGGGTCCCTGTCCAGCGGGCGGGTCCCTGTCCAGCGGGCGGGTCCCTGTCCAGCGGGCGGGTCCCTGTCCAGCGGGCGAGTCCAGCACTTTTCTTTAAGGAGATCCCAGGCTACCAGTGAGAGGTAACAGCATGCCTCTTTCTTTTAGAGTGCCCAATGGGACTGGCAGGTAAGCTCAGGCGGTTGGAGCTGACTGAGAACACCTGGCAGTGAGTCACGGGCACTGCAGCACTGTGCGGACAGGAGCGTCCACCAAGGGAAAGGACCAGACAGAGTGAAATAAGAATATGTGCTGTGGACAAGAGGACGAAAACTGCGGCTGCTGTCACTGCTGGGCTCCTGATTTCCAGTTCTGTAGCTTGCAGCCTGAGAGTCTGGAAGCCACCTAGCTGTCCTGTGCACTCACCTCCTCCCTCTGAAACTCGAATGGCCCCTCATAATGAGAGCTGAAGGTCCAGCCCTGATAGCATCTTATCTCTGCTCCATACACAGTAGGCACTGAACGCATCCCGAGCTACATGCCATCCTGGACAGTTGCACTCTCCAGTGCTGATGGCAGAGAGCAGATAAAGATCCTGATCAGACTTGGTCCAGCCTGGGTAAGAGCTCGTCGGTGCCCCTCTGAAGAAGCCCGGGAGGAGGTGATGTTCTGGAGAGGGGAGACTGAGAAGGGCCCCAGTTTGCAGCTTTACCAGTCTGACTTTGGCAGGTTCAGGTCCCCTGTTCACTCTTTTCCCTGAGAGCAGAGCCCCAGGCAGATGGTGGTTGCTCCATTCACATCTTCACCTTCTCAGGGGTCCATCCTCACTCTCAGCACCAGGTGGAAGGCTGTTCCTACTTCACACTGTTGCTCCATGGAGAAGCCAGCCCCTGCCTGCCTGGTCCTTCCCACGTGGAATCCGCTGTGAGTGCCTGTGTCAGTTTGTGGCTGCATATTATCTTGTTATGGGATTGGGACCATGTCTTGGTTATATTTGCCCTTTTCATACCACTAGGCCAACAGGTGTCTTAGGGGGAGCCAATAGAACTAGAAGGCTGGAATGTGCCGCTCAAAGTTATACAGCATCCTATAGAAACCTATAAATCCCTTTCCCGGTCTGTGTCTTCAGGGAGCACTATACAGAGTTTCTCTCTTGATCTGTGTATAAAATGGGTTATGGGGTCTCTCCATTCAGGTAGATGAGATGGTCTGTGTACTGGGAGTTATGGTGTGATCTTGCCCCAGCAGGGGACATTTGTGAACAAAGCAGTCTAAGCTGGTAAGTGGGCCAATCATGAGGAGCTGATATCCTTACAGAGGGCTGGTTGGTGAGTCCCTGTGGGAAGGGATCTACCTCAGTCATGGGAACAGCAACGACTTCCCATGGGTCCCTATTAGGGCTGGATACCTCTGAACCAGAGGGAGTGCTGTGGTGGTTATTCTGATTGGTCAGGGCATATGATGGTCAAATAAATGCCAGACAACACGGTCTGTGAAAGTGCTTTCTAGACGTGATTAACATTTAATTATTAGCCTAAAAAGAAAGAACATGCTCTAATATGTGAGTGGAACTTAGCAGATCAGCCGAGGGAACATACAGAAAAGACAGAGGTTCCCCCAAAAAAGGCTGGGCCAACACTACCAACTATCGCTTGGTTGGTAGAGAATGTGCTTAACACCAATGAAACTATGGTTCCATTCCTGGCACATCATAATCCAGGTCCCATGCCCTGATATCCCAGTACTTGAGGCGTGGAGGCAAGGGGGTGGCCAAAAGTTCATGGTCATTCTTGGCTAGACAGTGGATTAAAAAGCGGCCTGGATGGAAGTCACACCCAAGTTTGCAGCCTGACGTCTTTTAGGATTCACACTCAAAATGTCCACAACTTTGTTTCAGACTGCAGGTGTCCACAACAGACCTCAAGGGGACTGAGCTCTGTGATCAGTGGCCAGTTGCTTGAATCACCTGTCTTCTCTCTACTGCCTTTGCTTTACAGCACAGCCTCACATTTCCCTGACCCCTGCTACCAGGACCTGCTGCAAAGATGCTCTACATGGCCTTGTCACCTGTCGCTGCCCATCTCTCCTGCAGTTCTGTCTTCTCCTCCATGGCAGGCATAGAAAACTGCCCATGATGCTCTAAAACACTCTTAGACTTTGCTTCTCGGGTATCCTCTGCCAGCCCTTCCCCTCGGAAGCAAACGTCATGACAAACCGTGATGCAATTCCAAAGCACACCATATGATATAAAATTCATTATAAAATTTCAGTAAATATAAATATCTAGGTGCCTATTTGGAAGGCCCTAGGTGGGGAGATCAGAAATAAAGCACCAATAATGACAGAGAAGTACAGGGGTAGGTTGGAGGGTTGCCATGAGTCCTTCCATTTGAAGGTCATTGGCCTCTGCTCTCAGCTCAGAAGCAAACTTACAGAATGGATCTTAAAACCACTCAACACACAAACCACAGCCTGGGGCTTAACACGAACAGCACATCAGCGACTTGGCTGGCGTCTGTTACTGGAGACCCTGATGTTCCAGGGATACCTATATTCTCATGTAACCTATGCTTCTGATTCCTCCTTTAAAACAGAACAGCACTGAGAAATGGGTTGAAACAGTAACTCACTGTAAATAACCGAGAAAGAAAACAAAAGTATCAAAGTTGCTCCTCCAGGGCAAGGTCTGGAAGTACAGAAAGCACCTTAGTGGGGATTTTGTTCTCCCATTTCCAAGTATGCAAAAGTCCTAAGTCAGAGGCCCCAGCAGGTACCTGCTCTAGGGGCCACTGGGGTAGGAGAGAGCTATCTCATGCCTGCCTCTCAGTGTCCACAAGCCTTTCATGATGACAGTGGAGCCCCCGAGGTCGGAGGGAGGCCAGCGAGCTGGATGGCAGATGCTCTGAACCCTTTTCTGATTCTTACACTTCTCTTTTTGGAAATACATCCAGCATTTGCTGTTAGTGCTGTCTGTCTTTGGCATTTGGTTTGGCTGAATGCCAACCCAGCGAACGGCTGCTTCCTGTGGACTATAGCACAGGTCCCTTCTGTCCGTGTGCGGGAGGTCGCCCAGCGGGACCCCACTTTCCCACCTAACAGAAGAACAGAACACGCCCTTGTGAGAGCAAGTATGTGCTCCCACATTCAGAAACACATTGATGCACCCTGGGTCAGAAGTCCAACAATCCGTCTCCTTCCAGCTCCTGTCTTCTTGGATGCATCCCAATGCACACTGCACAGCTCTCTGGTGCTCTTGGGGGCATCTTCTTGCTGCCGGGACCAGTCCTAGCTCACAGGTTAGATCTGGAGCAGGTGTTGCAGCACTGCTTGCTGTAGAACCTGTGACTGCACATGCCATGGTGAGGTACCAAGTAGCACCAGTGGAAGAGGTCTTGGCAGAAGGTATCTAGAAACGAGAACACTGTGTGTTAGCCTGAGGCTCCCATGGGCAGCCCTGGACTCTGCCAGCTGCCTCTGGTACACAGAGAAAAGTGAGTTTTGTCATGACCAAGGAGTTCCCTTCCAGACCGGTTGTTGTTGGAGTATGAAACATCTCCTACAGACTGTTTGGTCTAAGCTCTTAGTCACCAGTTGGTGGTGTGGTTATGCAAGGCTGTGGAACCTTAGGAAGTTGAGCTTCACTAGAAAAGGGGTGCTTTAAGGGGTGGATCTTGAAGTTGTATAGTCTGACCCTCACTTCCTTTTCCTTCTCTACTTTCTGACTATGGATACAATGTGACCAGCTACTCACACTCCTGCCACCATTTCCTGACCCCTGCTGGATACAATGTAGCAAGCTGCTCACACTACTGCCACCATTTCCCTGAGCCCTGCTGGATACAATGTGGCAAGCTGCTCACACTCCCACCACCATTTCCCTGACCCCGGCCACCAGAACTCTAACCCTTGGAACTATAAGCCAAAGAAAACCCCAAACTTCCTAAAGATGCTTCCTGTCAGGAATTTAGCCATAGCAATGAGGCGGTAACTAATGTAATGGGTGAATGGGGTCCGAGAGACCGTTGTTTCCATAAAGCCCTTCCTGCAAAACTGGGGTCTTCTTGCTCTAAATACACTAGCGCAACACCTTGCCCAGGAAGGATGCGTAAAACATGGACACTGAGTGCCAGTCGCCTTGTTCTCAGGGTGATACAGCCCAGCCGTAGGTCACCTCCCAGACAGTCTGCCTAAGATGCAGCCCAGGAAGTCAGGGCATCAGGCTCGGCAATCGCCTGAGGCATTTTGTGCAGACACAAGGATGATTTTTAGAGTATACCCAAGGAATGAGGAAGTTTGGTGCATTTCAAGGATACTTTTGCTAAAACTGTCTTTCTAAATGCCACAAACAGCATATAAAAAGAGGTAAGCATATGCTTTTAGAGGACAAACACATCACCAGTGGGTTTTCCCTTCTGGGACAGGAGGAGAGTGGCAGGGATGGCATTGTCACTCTTTGGTTGTAAAAGTGGAGGAGGCGAACAGAAGAACAGAATATTACAGGTAGAAGACCCCGACTCCAGGGTGCTCCAGCCAGCACTCCATCTCCTGGGATCTTCTAAGGAACTTCTGCAGAAGTCCAGCTGAGGGGTCCCGACACTCACCTCTCTTCTCTGCAATAGGGCAGAAATGGGTGTTGCAGGCCGAGGAGGTCTCTGGTTTCTGGTGCAGGAAGCAATCTGAGGCTGGCTGTCCTCCCAGCAGGCACTGCACGGTTCTCCTCTGCACACCACCCCCACAGCTGGCTGTGCACTGCAAGGGCAAAGAACCATAGTCACATGCTGTCAGGACGTCAGCGCAAGCTCAACCACTGGCATGCCCACTTGTCAGAGGGTAGAACCGTACACCGAAGTGACAGTAACGGGGACAAAGATCCCTGAAGTGAGATGATGCTTGGCCCTTTCCCAGGACACCACAGACCAGCCTTGTGATATACAGCTTCCCAGTGATGTGGCTGCCATCCCACCCTTCTCAGGGATCAAAGGAAGACAGCCTTGGCCTTTCAGGATGTGCTCCAGTGGGAATTTGATACTGCAACTTTTATTAAGGTTTCCTAGGAACAGCACATTTGTTAAAGCATCAGAGTATTGCACAAGGACACAGGTATCTGTGGATTGGCCTAGGATCTCCTCAAATTATAGACAGTGTGGAAAATGAAGACTCAGAGCCTGTCTCCAGGTTACTCTTACGTTAAAAAAAAAAACCTCAAGGAAGCTTCTCCCTCCATCATTTTGGTTTCTATTTAAGGTATATGAGAGAATGAAATTGCTGATTGACACTGAGATCAGTGCCAGGTACTTTCTCACCTGTGTGGGGCTTTGTCTTGAACCAGGTCTGATGATGTCCATGGTGCCAAAACACTATTGTCCCTTCCCTTGCTCTCTTCTGCCCTGAAGGTAGCTGTGTTCAGATTAACTGCAGATACAAACCTCTGTCTAGAATGTTCTTGGATGAAATACTAAGGGTCCGAGGGACACAGGGAACTAGTGCCTGCAGAAGGATCCCAGGCTGCTTTCTCATGGCATGAAGGGATGGACAGTGTTTTGGGGGACAAGATGGCACCTTTATTGATAAACCTGGGGTGCCTCAGAGGCGTTCAAGCCAGGCCCTTTTGGACCCCAGTTTCAGGACTCCTGTGCCTAGGCCAGCATGCCAGCCAGAAACCCTTTGAGCTAGGGCATTACGTCTTAGCACCCTAAGCAGCAGTGACACGGAGAATGAAGGTACACACTCCACTGTATAGGAGCTTTCTGATGCTAATCGTGTGCCAGAAATCGAAGAAAGAGCAGCTAGACAGACAGGGGGACTTCAGTGGGCCCGTGGAGATTAATCAACCCAAGAAAGAAAACAGCACAAGTCTAGACTGGGTTATATAAGCTGTGACTAGGCAAGACTGTTGCCTCAAGTATGTCAAGAATGGGAGAGATTAAAGGGACACCTGGAAGAAGATGAGGTCAGCTCTCAGTTGGGATGTCCTGGTGTGCAGCAGACAAACTGGCCAGGAATCACTCTGTGAGGAACAGGGACACGGATGGCTGACTCATATTGCTCACTCCCACTTCCTGGACAACATACTGGAGGATACTGGAGGAGAACTGGAGCACCAGGCAAGGGCCAACGCACTGGCACAAAGCAGCATGCCAGTATCATTCAATCGGACGCTGAACTTGTCCTTGCTGCCTGCCACCATCAGAGCATTCAGAGTGACCTCAGACTCACTGGAACTAGCGTACACCTTCCCATCTCTAGTGAGGAGAGAAATTGCACACATAGCATGCTGGGAGTCTCAGAATCTCAGACTGAAGGGGTTGCTTTTTCTTCTTTCTTCTTCTTCGGGTAAAGCAGGGTCAGGCCTGGAGCCTGTGTCTGGAACATTTCCTAGGCTTTTACTTTTTTTATTTCGAGATCAGAATTAGTGAAAGTCACCCACTGCTCTGTTTCAGCTTGTAACTATGACAACCAGAACAAGCAACGCAGTGGACAGATGCATAACTTATTCTTGAATCGCCAGGGTCAGAGGGGCCAGCAGATGTTTCCCACTGTGTATCGTATTTCTGACGTGCTGCAAAAGCTCAGCTCAGCACTTGGTTCTTTGCTTTGTGAATGTCAGGCACCCCCACTCAGCCCATGGGCTATTGAGAGCTCTTGGGCTGTGGGCGAACAGGACCAAGCCAGCAGCGGACCTCGTCTCATTGGGGACATGTGCAACCATTTCTATCCACCTGCCTCTCATCCTCCAAGCTGATCCTGTTCCTGTTCAGCTGAAGATTATACTCAGGGTGACAGTGGGATGTATCCAGCTGTATAATACAGCCACGCAGAGTCTTCTACAAGGCTTGTCCTTGAGAATCGTGCAATCGAGCTACCAAAATAAAGTCTGTAAAAATCTCCTGATGTTTTACATACATTTATGATTCTGAATGGGGCTGCGCTCCCAGCTGCCCTCTGTTGGCTGAGGCCCACAGATTGGACTCACTTCACGGTTTCCAAACCATTCATGTGCGGTTTGGTGTGTTTTGCCACGGATTCCTTTAATGGTCACATATTAACCACTCACCGCTCCTGTGCCAGGTCATGTTCTATATACTCCATACTCAGTGATGAACATGAATGACTCAGCACCTGGCCTCAGGGTACCTGAGGAAGCCCCTGGTCAAAGTATGGTCCTAAGCCAGGCAGTGCCAGCAGCAGTGGGAGCTCAGGCCCTCGGCAGTGCCAGCTCTGGCATCTTCACCTCCCAGGCTCCCACCTCTCCCTGCTTCAGGCTTGGCACTAACTCTGGTGATTCAGAAGCCCTGGTTTAGAGAGTTTGAGCATTCCTCATAAGAAAAAACATATTTATGTAAGAAACAGTCTCTCAGATTCTCAATATTTGCATTTCTCTACATTAGGCTGGAAGAAAAAATTATTCAGCTTAAAACTTTGGAAATACTTTGAGTTGCTAAAGGTTGCAGTATACAAGGAGAAGAAAAGAAAATGTGAAGTTTAACAAATGTGTCTTCTTTTTCTTCCCAGGAAGGGAAAGGATGGGAACTGTTTATCAATTATGCAAACACTGTGGCTTCAAACTTAGCTGTATGTTTAGAGGTTTTATCATAGGGTTCTTATTAGCTCTTCCATTCACAAACACATAAGAAGCACCTGGAGCCCTCCCTTGAGGGTTGGAAAGCAGGGAGGCAACTGAGGCCGAGAGACAGAGACAGGGAGGCAGGAGAAGGCAGGAAAGGCAGCAGGGTCCAGAAGGCAGGGAGGCAGCAGGGCCAAGAGTAGGCAGAGAGGCAGCAGGAGCTATGAGGTTCAGTTGGATACTTGTTGTGGGCAAGTCAATGACAGCAGCTTTGAGAGAAAGTGTAAGTAGAGACTGCTTGTTCATCCCTGGCCTCCCAGACCTGAATAATCACACAGAGACTGTATTAATTACAACACTGCTTGGCCTATTAGCTCAGGCTTTTATTAACTAACTCTTACATCTTAAATTAACCCATTTCTATTATTTTATATTTTACCACAAGGCTCGTGGTTTGTTACCCCTTGCTTCTTGAGCTGCTACATGGCATCTCTCTGACTCCATCTACTCTCTCTTTATGTCTCTGTTCGGATTTTCTGCCTGGCTTTACTCTGCTAAGCCATTGGCCAAGACAGCTTTATCCATCAACCAATATATACAGAAGGCCATCCCACATCAAGAAAGAATGTTCAAAGGAGACTCTAGAGCCTCAAAACTTTGCCATCTTCCTATAGTTTCTCAGGACTTCTGCTGAGCAATCTTTTCAAGACCCAGACAGCCTGATTCTTTGTAAACTTGATCTGTATTGGCTCAGCTGACTCTCCACACAGCCACCTGCTGCAGATACCTGCACAAACCTCCTGGATTGGTGGATTCATGCTGGGCTTGTGGCTCTCACATTAGAAGCACTTGGAGAATTCTATACAACAGGTCACTACCCAAGAACTCTTGTAAAGACTTTGCCAGTTCTAGAGATTGGATGTGACAAGGACCCCCCACATGCCCAGGAAGATGAGCCCTTTTACAGTTCTAAGACAATTATCTTTTCACGTCTGAACATAGTTTCTTTCTCAACAAGAAGACCACCACACGAAATTTACAGTCTCAGGGAAACTGCAGATGGGGTTGCTTCTACTATGTAGACAGGCTAACTGAAAACCTTCGCTGACCACTTCTCACTCAAAACTGTCTCCATTCCTGCTTCTCAGACTTCAGAGTGCTTCTGGATCAGAGAAGATCCCTATGTTTGAGAGATCAATGACTCACACACAGAATGTGTGTTCTAATGGATGTTAGATGAATGGTTGGAAGGATTATTCATTTCATCAGTGATGAACAGGTGCATCTCAAATAATTGTGTATGCTTTAGTAGCTTTTGAATGGAATGAGAGCAAGCCTGCTCCTTTGTAACATTGGTCTTTCTGGAACATGGTAGCTGCTAATCTCTCAGTAAGGATGGTGGTCCCTCAAACTTGCAGGACCCGAGAGATGGAGACCATGGACTTAACACGGTGCAAAGCTCACCCCTCAAAACCCAGAGGACAATAGATAAAGAAGCACAAAGCAATTCTGGGAACCCAGCTTTCCAATCTGCCACCTATTTTCTCAAGAGCCCCTATTAAGAGGCATCATTACGTCAGTCCCTTAGTGTAGTGTCTTCCTCTCCAAATCTAGAGATTACACACCGAAGCTGTGCAGAATGGGATTGCACAAACCTCAGTGGCCTAAGTCATAAGAACTTTTGACATAATCATGGACAGGGTTGTAAAATTTTGTGCAAAGCTGCCCAGTCCCAAACATGAACTCCCTTGTTACAAGGAGGTGTAGATTGTGGATTATCCATCAATAGCTCTCAGCTGGCTCCTATTTTTCCATGCCCCACTTAGAGCTTTGGGAATTGAGAGCAGATGAGTGACCGCATTGTACGTACAGGGCAGCATCCATCGGTTTGCAAGTCTGCCTGTACTCTGTGCATGCTGCTCGCTCTGTCTCTTTCTCTGCAGTTGCCATGACATGTCAGGCATAGCTGTCATCTATGGCAGCCCATGGTGTCATTTGGGACCCAGCTACTGACCCTTCATAGGTCATGTCATTCCCAAATAATCTGTGCTATCCTGGTGAAGCAGCCCTGCCCTGCCAACCTTTGGCATACTCATCTGTGACATGTGAAGTGAAGAGAGCAACAGGTGACCATATTTAAGCTGTTCCCAGATCCCACGGCCTGGGAACCACCAGATCCTCAGTACACATGCCTGGAATGATTTAGGTCAACCTTATACCATGGCTCACCATGAAATGAAAGGATAAACAAAGCTATTTGAGTTTGAAGAGACCCCAGATAGCAAATCACCACAATGTCCTTTAACCGGGACAAGAATAAACCTGTCTGCCGCGGAGGGTCAACCAGTCATGGACCATTCATTACTACCTGAAATGTTTCCAGCCCGTAAAATTTCTACAGTTTATGTGCAGGGTCGTGGGGACAAATGCTTACTGCAAATATACCCCATGGGTTATTCTTGCACTGTAGAAGTTATGGTATTGAATCAACAAGCGGATCACAGAGGATATAAACCACAGCCAGTTGATACAAATTAATCATTAGACAAATCAGGGCTTTCAGACCTACCAAAGCTATTGAAGACCAGGCTAAGTTTCAGGTTTGGGTTTAAGTAAAGTGTTGATAAACCTTTACACACAACCAAAATCCCCTAGAACAGTTGTTCTTAACCTGTGGATTGTGGCCTCTTTGGGGTACAAACAACCTTTTCACAGGGGTCACCAAAGACAATCTTCATATCATATATTTACATACGATCCATAACAGTACAAACTTACAGTTATGAAGTAACAGTGACAGTAAGTCATTGTTGGACCTCATGTTGGAGGTCACCCCAACATGAGGAACTGTATTAAGGGGTCACATTAGGAAGATAAAGAACCACTGCCCTAAGGGGACTCTGCATACCCTCAGCCCAGGTTGCTGCTCCAAGCATTCAGGCACGACATGAAAATTCCCATCTCATTTTCACAGCCACATGGCCGGCTATAAACTAACTACTGCTGATTTATTATGAATCTCAGTTTTTCCATTCACACCCATCTCTAGGGATTTCTGCCCAGGTTTTACCAAGAGTATTACATTTCCTTACACTTGATGCCATAAACATTTGCAAGGATGCCCAGGGGCCCAATAAGGTTCAGCAACATGTGGAGTCCACCCTCAGCAGGATATACCCACCCTCAAGGGGCCACTCACGTGTGGGAGAGAAAGGTCAGGAGGGCTCAATGGGCTTTGGGGTATACACCCCAACAGGTAGCTGCCTCCAACCAATGTGAGCCAGTCCCCAGCCTCAGCGTCTTACCTGAGACCAGGGTGAGGCAAACCAGCTGCCTCGTCGGGGGCCTGCAGCAGAATATGGAAGATTCTTGTGACAGGGAAATAGGACACAGGCCCGCTCCAGCTCCAGGTCCGGCTTCGGCAGATGTGAGCACTTCTTGGAGGCCAGCTCTCGGTACTTTCCAGAGACATACTTCTCGGCACACCTGAGAACTCTCTGCTGGGTCCCCCTCTCGCAGGTCACAGAACACTGGGAAGAGGAGAGCAGAGAAGGGCTCAGCAGTCAAAGTGTTCCCCGATGGCACCAGCTTTAACACTTACATAAATATGGGTATTTCATGGCTTGGCAATGGCATTAAAAAAAAGACATTTGGGCTGGAGAGATGGCTCAGCAGTTAAGAGGATTGCCTGCTCTTCCAAAGGGCCTGAATTCAATTCCCAGCAACCACATGGTGGCTCACAACCATCTGAAATGAGATCTGATGCCCTCTTCTGGCCTGCAGGTGGACACACGACAGAATATTGTATACATAATTAATAAATAAATATTTAAAAAAAGACATTTATGATATCCAACATTAAAGTCAATAAGGAGGATTTGAGGTTGAGCACTGTGGTACAGAAACTCCCAGCAGGAGGGTGGCAAACTGAAGACCCTGACTCCAAACCAAACTACAAACAGCAGATAATACTACAGGCGATACAGAGGGGTGGTGCAGAAGGAAACCTCATGGGTGTGATTCTGAGGACACTTCTACTGCTAAATTTAAATGCTTGGCTGTCACTGATAACAGCAGAGAAATATTAGGAGCAAAGATATGCAGTGAATCATACCCCTCGGTATCGCCCCCACACCTCCTCTGCAGCCACAGTATGGGCCCCTAGAGTATTCCAGGGTTCAGAAACCTTCCCTAGAAACCTGAGTGGTTCCTGGAAAGGAAGCAGCTAGGCACGGGGGCGGGGGTGAGAGCATTTGGGGTGTGTGTGAGAGCACTTGCTCTCTCTGGGATGCAAGCCAAGTCCGAGCGAGCCCTGTTGCCTGGCTCCTGCGTGAGCTGAGAGGCCCTGGACGGATCAGTAAGTGGACAAGAGAAGCTGTAGCATCTGCTAAGCAGAGATGGCATGTGAGGCTGCATCCTCTGTGACCTCAGGCCAGCGCCTGTGTCCACAACAGGGATCCCAGTTCTGAGCAATGCTGGGCAGCCTCAGGACCACCAGGTCAAACTGCCAACAGGAGATCTAAGGGAGCAGAGCGCCTCACATTCACTTACTGGCTTCCAAATGCCTTCTGTGTCCCCTCCATCCAAGACAGAGTTCCCATTAGAAGACTATTCTATGCTGCCTATTGAGTATAGCACTGAGAGAAACTCTGGTATATGTGTGTAAGTCTGTATGAGAATGTGTGCGTTTGTGCATGTATGTATATATGTGTATCTCTCTATATATATATACACACACAACATGTGTACATATAATGTATATATATGTATACATACATCTTTTACTCTGGGTGAGATGTATGTATACATACATTATTTTGAGTGGTAACCTTTGAATTTCTTTTCTTCTTCTTATTGTTTTTGTCTTTTTAATTTATTTAACTTTATTTTATGTGCATTGGTGTGATGGTATCAGATCTTCTTGAATTGGAGTTACAGACAGTTGTGAGCTGCCATGTGGCTGCTGGGAATTGAACCTAGGTCCTCTGGAAGAGCAGTCAGTGCTCTTAACTGCTGAGCCATCTCTCCAGCCCTTCTCCCTCCCCCTCCTTCTCTCTGTACATGTGTTTTAAATTCCTTATCAAGAATTTCCTCCCTGGACAGAGCCCATAGACTATGCAGCCTAAACCTTCTGCTGTCTGCATTTAGCCTCAGAGGTTTGCCCAGTAGACTCGACTTTCCTACTGAAGGTGAAACCCATCCAGAATCGTCTTGCATTTGCTCTGGGTATCGTGAACCTGTGCACTTGACTAGCAGTGGCGAGCTTACTCTTTCCACTGGTCAATGCTGCACTCAGCTTTCAGTGGTAAACAGTATCTCAGGAAGATGCAAAGCCCCGGGGGTCACACTGACCCTCCTTCCTAAACAAGGCACTACCTGATGTGTGTGGAGAAACAGGGCATCTTGGCCCTGCCCTGAGAAGTGTGAGAAGAAACAAAGACTTTCTTTCCCAGCTGCTGTGGGAAGGTGAAAGTTTGGCCTTGGGGAATATTATATCCTTGGCAGGTGTGGAAAGATTTCCGAGGGCCTTTTGGGCTCACTTAGGCCAAGGCTAGTCAGGAAACCTCTGTACTTCAAGCTCAGTGCTCCATGGCTAGTCCTCCCGTGGGGTCTGGACATCTCCACTCGGATGAAAGGAGATGTGCTCTTCATTGCTGTCCATCATTGGCTCCACAGCCAGCGGTTCAGCAGTGCAACCCAAGACATTTCTACAAGCATGAACTGACTGCGCATGGAGACCCTCTTCAGAAATGCATCCTGTGCTTTCTGAATGAGCACATCCACTCCCCGATGTGCCCAAGGCTTGAGAAAGGCTACTGACTTTCTTTAGCCACCGGTGTCATTGTGAGGAGGGATTGGGCACTGAGGGAGCATGTCAGCATGGATGCCAGGGAAGCAGGAGATCTGGGGCCATGGCTGACAGAGGGGACTGACTCAAAGCATGGGAAACAGAACTTGCGCAGTGTGAGAAGGCACGGTAAAGCTAGAGGAGGCAGAAGCAGGCTGCTCGGAGGAGTGAGGCCGACCCCATTCTGAGGGAATCTGGTGGGCGTACCTGGGACCAGGCAGACACCAGCCACTGCAGCTTCTTGTGCTTGTGGCAGCGCGTGAGCAGGCAGACTTCGTGGGTCCTCGGCTTGGGTTCCGAGGTGCAGGCAGCGTCGTGCAGCAGCTGGGCTCTGGCTGAGGGGTTGGTGCTCTTGCAGGCCACCGCTCTCTTCCTCCACCCTTTTCCACAGGTTCGAGAGCACTGCGCAAGAGAGTGAAACTTTCAGCAAAGGCAGGACAGTTTTCAGACTCGGCTGGATGTCCCAGGCCTTAGACAGAGCATCCCACAGTGTGTGGTCCAGCCTCCGTCCCTTCTCCGCCCCACCTGGTTACCTCAGCCCAGGGCCCGGTGCTCCAAGCGGGTGGGCAGCTTTGAGAGTTGCAGGCCTGGTGACTGGAGGGTGCAGGCTGCGGGCACAGGCTGGCCGAGATGGGCTCGTCACGGTAGTGCACCCTCCGCGTACACTGCACAGGTCTGCTCTGAGTGCCCCCGCCACACGTCCGGCTGCATGTGCTCCAGTTTCCTACGGACCAGCTGGCAGGGGACACAGAAAACCACAGTGAGGGAGGGATGGCGCCATGGCTCCAAGTCAGTGGATACGTGTGTGTGTGTTGACAGGTGGTCCATGGCTTTCCTGTGATACCTGACACAAATGTAATCTTTTCCAGCCACAATTTTTATAGAGTGGCCAATTTTGCCTATGTGTTGCGGCTGCTGAATCGGACTCTACACATTTAAGGGGAATCTGGCTTCCCTGTATTTGCAAATAACCCACCTTAGAATAGATCTTTAATCTCTCTCTAAATTTTTTTTATAAAAATAGAAAACTCCGATCATATCCCAAATAAAAGACCTTTGTGCTTATACCCACTTAGCTTCAACAGCCATTAACACGTGACCTTAACTTATGTAACAACTGCGTGCAAAATTCAAATGCAGCTATTTCAATATAACATTTGTATGTCAATTTCAGACAGTTATTTCTATGTGCATTCCTTGAGGATTCAAATCCTTTGTGTTTTTAAAAATGTAACCACAATATCATTATATCTAACACATTATGGTATTTAGCATGTGTGTATGGGGGTGAGATTCGGAGGAGCTAAAGGGGTAGGAGGAGAATGATCAAAATCCATTGTATGAATTAGTGATCCTTATCTTCCATACAGCCTGCTTTTTCTCTCCCCCTTTTCTCTGTTACAGGATTTTGGATGCTGTGTCTCTGTCTTTCCTAGATTCCTTAGCAGCTGGGTAATTCAGATTGATTGGCTGTCACCTGTCGTCACCCAGGGCTTGGCGTACCTCTTGACAGGATGCCGTGATATCTCATCATCTTTTCGGCTTCTCCACAGTGTTTTCTCCCAAAGCTACACTGTGACTTCCATCTCTGGTTTTAAAAGCATCCTTGTTGATGGATGTGCTGGCTGGAACTGGGGGGTGGAATGGAGGTGGGTCCAAGGTCAGCCCAATGGTGCCCTACTAGGTGTGAGCTAGGCCTGGGTATGACTGCACAGCCTTGCATTGGAGGGCTTTGTGGCCATGGTGATAAGTCAGAACAAGGGACCATGAGGACACCTATTTCAGCATAACCATGATGGTCAACCAGTCCAGGGGACCATGAGGACACACACTTTGGAATGGCCATGATGCCCAATCTGTACAGAGACCGCGAGGACGCACAGCACGGTGTGACCATGACGGATGCTCAGCCAGACAGGAGCCGTGAGGACACATAAGGTGGTGGGGAAGTTTGCCCATGAAGCAATCCCCTTGGTTTAGTCTGGGCCTCCTTTGTCAGTCTTAAGACTAAGGTGGTAAATCTGAAAGGAGAGTCAACTGAGGACTCCTCCTGGAAGAGAAAGGGGAGCCCCCACTCCAAGTTCCGCGATGCTTGCAAACTCGGTAGCAGCCGGGTGCTCAAGCTTAGTTTTGCTTTGGAGGTGCCGTATGCTGCTTTATTCCTAAAAAGATTCCATTACGTCTTGAAGCAAACTGTAAAGAGCCTGTAATTTTGAAACATATAAAAAGAAAACACACAAGGGCTCTAGCAACTGGTCCCACGTCAACTGTGGGAACACCAGATTCTCAGTATCAGCAAGATGAGTGTTTTTTATTGCATGCTAACAGATAAATGGCTCGTCCTTCTGGTGAGGGATTGGTGTCTGCTGTGGTGGTGTGACGGCTCCGCACTTGGATCCTCTTGGTTGCTCCTTGGACACCTCTGTACGCTTTCATGATGGTTTTTTAAAAAATATACTTTCCCATTTTTTTATGTTTGCTCTCAGCCCTGCAGTCTTATAAATGGTAATTGGTGTCCACGCTGGGGCCGTGAAAAACAGCTTGGCTGCTCGCACGCTCTTCATACCTCCTCCCTAAGTCTCCTGTCTCCACCATCTCAAGCCACTCCAACTGGGTTGAGCCGTTCTCTACCGGCTCCCTTAACTGCAGGTCATTAAGAAAAGCCTTCTGAACAGAGATCACGCAGATTGCTTCTGTAAGCGCCAAGTGTCTGTTTTGCTTCACAGAGGGAAATGCCTTCACTCCAGCTTAAGAAAGAGTTTCAGTTCACACTGTTCTGATACCGCCCGAGGGAGGGTTCCCCATGCTGGAGCAAGCCTCATTCAGCAGCTGACCATGGACCACAGCAACGACTGCTTTGTTTAGTTTGTCTGTGTCTACCAGTGGAAACAAGAAGGCTACTCTGTTCCCAGGCAGGATATGGATGCACTCAGCCTCCACTGTAGGGGCTTTCTCACAGGGCCTGCCTGTGTGGATCTCACCATGGCTGTGAGTTGTACAGAGAGTTGCTTTATCTCAGACTATAAGTTGCATTTGTTGGAATCTTTTGCTCCACATTAAGAATCTGTACTGATCAACAGCTACTGAGGTTTGGATCTGGACTGTTCTTCAAAGGCCAGGGTGTTGAAGACTGACAGTCCTCAGTGCTATTGCGATGTGATGCAGAAACTGTTAAGAGGCGGGGCCTTGTCACAGGGACTAAGGTCACCAGGGCAGACTCTCGAAAGAGCTGCTGGGACTCCGGACCCTTCTGGCCTCTCATCTGCTTCTGGGACCCTATGAGGAGGCAGCTTTATTGGGTTCACATTCTTGATGTTTCCCCACAAGCCCATGAAACAGGGAAACCAGCTTTGGAAACCTCCAAAACTGTAAACTAAAATGAACCCTTCTCCTTCTTAGTTGACTGGTGCAGGAGAATTATCTGTATTCTGTCAATCATATTTTAATAAAACGCTGATTGGCCAGGCAGGCAGTATAGGCGGGAAAGCCAGACAGGAAGTAGGGGTGGAGCAAAGAGACTGGGAGTATTCTGGAAGCAGAGCTCCCTCAGCACTCCTGTCCAGACCACCAAAGAGGCAACATGTAAGCTGTCACACTGAGAAAGGTACTGAGCCCATGTGGCTAACGTAGATAAGAATAATGGGGTAACATAAGTTATAAGAGTTAACAAGAAGCCTGACCTAATGGGCCAATCAGCTTTATAACTTATAGAGATCTTTGTGTGATTGGTTTTCTTTGGGGTTTGCCGACTTGTTGGGGTGCTGGGCGGGATAGATACCCCAATAAACCGGCCCTCATGTTACAGTTGACTCATCCCTGGCTTTGTTCCAGTAACAGAGCACTGATCAACACACCAGGTATTAGATGTTTCTCACTGAAATCCCCCTTCCCATCCAGTACTGATTTAAAGATAGAAATAATACCGGGCTTCACCCTGTCTATTGACTTTGTTGGCATTTCAAGGTCAGGCATTTCAGAGTTAACTCTCAGTGGATGCTTTTGGGTACGGTAATCATGGGGAATGATGAACACACAAATCCCAGTCACAACAACACAACTGCAAGAAGTTGTGATGAGCGTTCTGTGTCCATGGAGAGACGTCATTTGACAAATGAGGATAGATGTCATTTGACAGAGAACAGTGACAGTTGGGAAGCTCTAACTTGAGCATTTATCATCAGGTGGCTTTTCACAACCTGGCTTTCCCACATAATAGTCTCTGTCACAGCACTCAGGTCACTTATGATTAAACCATCTTCTTCACAGTGTACGTGAGCCCTAATGAGTCCCATGATACCTCCCACCCAGTGCACACACACACTCAGCACTTAGCAGCTTCCAGCTGCTTCTGTGACTTGAGAAAATTGGTGCTAGCCATGCTCTGAAGCCACATAAACCTCATCACCATGTGTAAGTCATTTGAGATCCACCACCCTTTTCAAACGAAATGTCTCATCTATAACAGTTCACATTAGCAGTGAACACAGGCACTTTGAGGTAGCTGCCCTTTCCATAGGACAAAATAAGCTTATTTAGAGCAGAAGCCGGCTTGCTTGCCATGGCCTGAAGTCAGTGGATGGAGGACATGGAAGAGGCAGGTGATCAGGGCCCGTAGATCTCCCTTCTTATTGGGTGATGAGAATTTAGGGTTGGCCTCTCTGCCAAAGGGCATTTCTGTCACCATCTCTCCACACCAGCCCCAAAACAAGTTCCGTCTCTGCAGGAGCCAGGAAGCCTGTTAGGTAACCACACCCATAAGAGTGAGCTCTGGGATCAGGTGGACAGGCAAGGCAGACTGCTACAGTCTTAGGGTATGTGCCCATCTCCTGAACCCAGGAGAATCTCCAGAATCTCCAGGTTAAAAATCTTTTAACATGTGACAACCCTAGAGGCTCAGAGTCATGGTGCAGCTTGGCTGGCATGCTTTCTCCTCCTCCTCCAAAGGTAGTTTACACAGATGACTGACATACACTGACCAGCAGGCCAGGACCTTCTCTGTGATGTGTCCTTTGGGGGTTCATCTGTGTCTGCCTCTGCTGTCTAGGTTGGGACAGAAAGCCCACTTCTGACTGATGGCTGGTGGCAAGGGGCAAGCGCTGGAAGCCAAGCTTTCCCTGACACCTTGAGGATTTCCACTCAGCAATTACTTCATTTTCTTTAGCCTCAAAAAGTTGGACCACTGTCTTCCTTTGAAGAGCTGAGGGACAGATTTATAACGAGACAGACACGGGCCCTGAACTGTTTTCATGTCTAGATGCAGGATCTCTCTGCTGAAGTGCTCAAAGCCAGACATCAAAAACTTACCATTAATTTTATAAACTGTGAGGAGTCGGAGGCCTATAAAGGTTCACTTATATATAAAAACGCTATTTTTTACCAGATTTTCTTCTCTCACTGTCCTGCCATTGCAGACCACCTTACAAACAATCAGTAAGCACCACAGAGCTTCATTTACACAGGGTAAAGAAAAGGAAAAAAGGGAATTCTGGAAGATACACAAACTGCAAGCTGGCCACCATGTTATTCATGGTCTCAGTTCATCCAGGTTCCAACAAACGGTGTCCATCTGTGTTGACAGAGGTTTCTGTCCCGCCCAGTCCCAAAGAAACACACAGAGGTCTACATTAATCATAAACTGGTTGACCTATTAGCCCAGACTTCTTACATCCTACACTAACCCATAATTCTTATCTGTGCCAACCATGTGGCTTGGTACCTTTTATCAGCAAGGCATTCTCATCTTGCTTCCTCTATGTCTGGATGATGACTGCAGACTGGCCCTTTCCTCTTCCCAGAATTCTCCTGTCCTCATCACCCTGCCTCTACTTCCTGCCTGGCTACTGGCCAATCAGCATTTTGTTAAAACAATACAAGACCATTGTCCCACAGCACATCTGAGCTTTCTCTCTGTAGAACACTGGGCTGTTGCAGTAAACTTCTCACGATGCCTTAGGGGGACTGATTAGTTCCTGAATGAAGGGAAGTCATGACTCCTGGGGAGTCCGCCTTCCATACAGTTTCCATCACGAATGGGATGGATAGGGTGGGCATTTGATCCTACTGAGGCGGCAGAGGTGACTCCTGTTGACCAGCTTCATCTCCAAGAGGTTAGTCTAAGAGGTCTGGTGCCCAGTGTGTGAGTGAGTGAAACAGGAGCAGGCTCTGACCACAGATGGACCAAGGTCTATATTTGCCTTTGTTCTGCTGGAAATAACTAGGGCTTCCTGTGTTCAAATTGCAGTTTGTGGTACAACTCCCTTCATCCTGCTGCTGAGAAAGAAGCTACTCCTTGGGTACTGGGTCAGCAAGGTCCTTCGCTTAGGATGTCCTCCAGGGACCTAGCCATCCTCTGGGCTTTGGCAGAAGACCGCAAGCCTTCTGGCGTTAAAGCGAAGCCACCTGGGAAGTTAGAGGACATTGTCCCCAATAGTTCATTCCCCCACATCTCTCAGACAATCCACCTTGGGAAGTGGGGGACTTTCTTGCCCTTGAAGGGCAAAAGTAAATAGAAGGCAGACTGAGGTAGTGGGGTGTTCACGGCTGAGTACAGGTTCCCCAGACTGTACTTACGGCAGCCTTTCTCAGGGGCAGGTTCTCACTGTGTCCTCTCGCATTCCTCTCTCAGCAGAGAACCACTCAGATGGGCTTCTGTCCTGCTGACTTCCTGGACCTGCTGTCCTCTTCTCAAGATATCAACCACATGGCCCGAGTGGTCTCCTCCTTGCCCATAGGCTCACACTGGCCTCATTAAAAGCTGGTGTGTTCTCACTGAAAGGAGGTGTCCACTCCCTGAGATTCTTCACCCGGGAGGGAGCTCTCTGGCCCTGCTCAGCACTGGAACACCAGCCTGGAGATGCCAATCTTGCCCTTGGGTGTCCACAGCCTTTTGTTTTTGCTGTTCTCTTTTGGGTTCCATCCACCCTGCTGCATCAGCCCTTAAAGCCTGTTTATGTCAATGGGTCCTGTCACTGCAACTATGTAACATAATTAGGCTTGGTGTACACTGCAACTATGTAACATAATTAGGTTTGGTGTAACTTTGTGAAACACAAGCATGAAAAGAGAGGCTTGTTTCTAAGAAAATGAACTTGAGTCTTGGGAATGACTCAGTAAAGACTAGTCATTAAATGGGACTGCTGTCAAATTAGGTGTGGCCGGAGGAAAACTAAAACACAGAAAAAAAAAAACCCAATCCGAAATGGTTTTGCACTGGGATGAGTGGCGTGAACTCATGCATTTCAGAAACTCAAACTGGAAACCAGTACCCTGAATTTGTTGGTGGATTCTTTGTCAACAGAAAGGTCGGGCCATTAAATAAGAAACTCACCAAGTGACACAGTTACGGATCTCCAGTGAAAATAAATATTAAAGCCCCCTCCCAGTCGCTCTTGTAAATTCTGCACTTTTTGAAAACCAGTGGGTAGACAGGCCTTGTTTTGATAGCTCCTCACCCACCCTGTGGACCCTGTGCTTAGGAGCATCTTCCTTCAACAGCCAGTGGCCCATCTCCACTCCTACGACCTATGTGGGACCCTGTACTGAAGCCGGACCCTGGTCACTGTCCCCAGCTCACTAATGAGAAGTGGGCAATCATAATGTGAGGTGTTGTTGCACAGGGCAAACAGAAGTGAGGACATAAAGGATTCAACACCTTAGGTGTTCCATCTGACGGTATGTGAATGACTTTTCTGCAGAGCAGGCACAGGGTCCTGGTCCTAAAGTCTCTTGTTCCCCAGCTGTTGAAGACCTCCCCCCCCACTGGCATGATTTTAATGTTGCAATGTTGGAATGCTTGAAGTGGGGTGGGAATCTCCATCTGGAGACTTCAATAAACTTTGACGGGCAGAGGCACAGCTTTAAATCACTTAAGACCGGAGCATAAAGCAATGGCACCAACTGTGCCTGGCATCCTCCCGTGTCTTGTACTCTCCTCCCCAACATCCCGATTCTGATTAAAGTTTCCAGCTAGCAACACATGCCATGATCATGTGAAAACAGACACAGGTCCGTGATCCAGTCTGCCTCCCTCTGTGTCAGCTATTCATGTTGTGTGTAGATGTCTACACTTGACCTTTGTACCTGTCATTTATCTGTCAGTCTGTCTGTCTGTCTGTCTGTCTACTGCCTATCTGTATGTCTGTCTGTCTCTGTCTCTCTTTCTCTCTCTGCCTGTCTGTCTAGTTGCCTATCCATCTATCTAACTATGAATATATCTTCTATCTATGAATTGAGTATCTAAAACATCTGTGTCTAAGATCCACCATCCATCTGTCATTTCATCTATTACCCATTTACATGTCTATGAGCTTATTGATCATCTGTGTGTCAATAGATCTATTTATTCCATACACTTGCTTATTTCTGTAAGTATTTTTCTATTCTTATAAAATATGGTACGTATTTGAAATGTGTGCCATAGGTAGAATTATCAGTGAATGATTATATTGAATTTGGGGACTGTGGACATTTTGGACTCAGTCGTGCTGAGACCTAGAGACCAGAATAATGCAAATATTATGAGAGATTTCTATGTGGTTTAACCTGAGGATTTTCCAAAGTTTCTGGAAAAGTAGACATATTTTTAAATCTGCTTTTGTTCACAGACACACACACATGCACCCACACTTGCGTGTACACACACAAATGTATATACATCCGACATATATACCATCAGTGTTGATAGGTTCATAGTGAGGACACTGTTGATCAGTATGGAGTATGTGGTGATTCTATGTGTCTTCTCAATTTTTATGAGTCTAAAACTGCCGGAGAAGTCCATTAAGTCAATTAATAAAATTACACATATAACATAGTAAACAAAAGTAAACAAAAACCTAATCTAATAGTAATAGAGAAGGAATCCCACAAGGCAGATTTCTAGGTGTGAAAATGTTACATCTACATCCCAAAAGTTCTTCTGCATCCTTCCTGCCTCAATTTGGTCTCTCCTTCAGGATTCCAGTGGTTTAGCATACAGGCACAACCTATCTGGCTCTAGCTAGCTCTGTTGGTCCATGTTTGCAGCCTGTCTTTCCTCAGTGACATTTTCAAACCTGCCTCCCCATTGCTCAGTCCTCCCAGCTTTGCTGTGCTGATATGGAGCAGTATTACCCATAAAGGCAGGAAAGCCTTATCCCTCTTGCTGTGATGTCTGTACCCCTACCTGACTATACATTCTATCTAAGGATACTCTTTCCAGAACCAGCAGCTCTGGGTTTTAGCTGAGCAGTTAGCTGGAGACTGGTGGATGCAGAGATGTGTGGGCATTTGTTTATCTGGTTAAACAAATATAGTGATATTTTTATTTATTTATTTAATAAATAAAGCTTGCCGGAATATCAGAAGGGCAAAGTTAAGCCACTAGAAGTCAGGCAGTGATGGTACACATCTTTAACCTGAGGATTTTTGAGAAAGAGGCAGATGGATCTCTGTGAGTTTAAGGCAACCCTGGGCTACACAAGATCAGTGCAGAAACTAATCCAGGTGGTGGTGCCTCAAACCTTTAATCCCAGCACTAGGGAGTCATACACTTTTAATCCCAGCACTAGAGGGAATACACAATAGGAGGAGGCAGGGGCTCTGGCTGCCCAGTCTGCTGAGTCTGTTTAGGGTGCTTAGGCTACAGTACTCAGCCTTGGAAGCAGTTCAGACTTCTCTAGTGACTTGGCTGCTTTGTTTTTCTGGTTTTCAGGTTGAATCCCAGTATCTGTCTCTGGGTTTTTATTATTCTTGCTACAAATAAAGATGAGTTAGGTGCTTTCCCCATGAGACACAGGGGTGGGGAGTGAATTGCCTGTAGTGGGGGGGGCATCCCAGGACGGTGGCTACTCAGGTGAGTTCCTCTGTCCCAATGGGGCAGTGCAGTACCAATGGCCTTATGGAAGGTCTCCTCCCAGCCCTGTCCAATACCTAAGGGCCACCAGAATCTCAGCGTACATAAAGTCCAGCATCCCATACTTGGACATTTTTCTCACAAGAGAGAAGAAAGCATTTGAAGAGAGATTCAGACAAGCATCCTCCCTCATCCATGTTTACTCCTGTGGTATCACAAGAGAAACAGTGTACTTGACACCTCGCGGAATAGCTTTTGGACTCAAGCGCAACAAACATACCATATATATATGTATATATATACAAACCCACAAAAGAATAAAACAAAAAACAAAGCAAAACAACAAGAAGGAACATTCTAACACCATTCCTAAGGGTTCCTGAAATCAACTGAAATAACCATGGGGAGGCTTGGCAGGGCCAGCTATGTTACATCATTCATGGGAGTAAAAGCCGAGTAAAAGCAGTGGACCCCCCCATTATAAGTCGCTCAGCTCATGTCTGCAACAGCAGCGGAGAACAGGCATGGAATCCCTCAGGCGGGCTGCGCTGTGTGCTCAACCTCAGGGAGACAGGATCTGTGGACCCTGAGCCTTCTTACCTGGGAGGACAAGCTGACACCTTGCAGGGTACCAGCCCTGTGGCAGGTCGAGTCTTGGGGTTGCAGAAGGATGCATTCACTTGAACCCTCAGGTCTCTGTAGCATCCCTCTTTTGAATTCATCTTGCCTGTAGGAAGGGAGCACACGATAAAGACAGGGAACCATGACCAGAGATAAAGATGCAGAAGAGCCAGCAAAGCCATCTTGAAAATCATTTGAAAAACCTTAACCATGTTTACATGCCTCTGTGCTAATGCCCAATGCTCCAGAATTTACATATTTCTTTCTACATCTTAACATTTTTAAATTCAATGTGTGTTGTCGTGAGGATAGAGCCGAGTGGTCGACCGCCTCCCCAGTAAGCACAATGTCTAGGTTCAACCCCCAAGACTGTAATGAATGAGCAAACAAAATAATAAGTAAATTTAACATAGTTTTTGCAACCAAGGCTGTCATTCATTTGATGAAATAAAGTCATTTTGCAAAAAGCTAATTTTCCCAATATATTAATTAATTTTTAAGATAACGTTTAAACATTTCACATGTGAATACTACATTTACACCATTTCTGTCCCTTTCCCAAGCCCACACACTCTTTCTCAAATTCATGACCTTATTATATTTATTATTGTTGATATCTGTAAACTACTGAGTTGATTTCAATAGATACAGATATTAATCATGTTGGTCTTACATATCTGTTCATGAAATGATAAGAGGAATCAATTATTAATGAATAAATCAGCAAAAACACAACAACAAAATGATGATCAGTTTATCAGCTAGAACCCATAGTTAAACATCACCAGGCTACACTGTAGATACCATGCTCCTCACAGTTATGGCTTAGGAGGGCATCAAAAGATCATCACTGAAGTTTGGTTTGGTACTCAGCCTTCATACATGCACTATCTAAGGCTCTGTGCGTGTCCTGTATTACGCTCAATGTTCCAATGAGCTATGGTCTTCCACCAGACATATATGAGATATCAGGAATAGCCAAATATAAAGAGAAATCTGATGGGTAGCTGCCAGGGCAAGAAGGTACAAGAATGAGGGCTTGATACTTAATGAGTACAGAGATCTAGGCGGGTAAAAATGTACAGGGGATGCAAGGTGGTCATGGTTGTACAACAACATGAATGCACTTAGTGCCATAAAACTGTACTCTCAAAAATGTTTAAAACAGTACGCTTCATGATATATATATACATGATATATATATGTATGTATATATACATACATTGCCGTGATATAAAAGTAGGCTGTTACTAGTTATATACTTTGAAAGATGGCAATTAAATGCATTCAACAGAAGGAAAGAAAAGGAACATATTTGAGTCAGTATGAGATGAGCACAAACAAAGACGGATAACAACTGTGCTTGGTAAAGAGGCTGTGCTTTGCCTTGCGGAGCCTCTGCTCGTTAGGACTCAGCCTGGCCTCTGACCACGTCCCTCTTCACTCCAACTCCTCTGGCCACAGGCAGTGAGAGCTTCTCATGAGCAAATGGACAAGATGGTTTCCAGGAACCAAAGCAACCCAGCAACCCCTAAGACTCCTTTTCAATGGGAGCTGAGCGTATCGATGAAGTGAAAAGTCTCTGAGAACACATGAGATCCAAGCTAGAGACTAGTTCTCCTGAATTTAAAACTAAGGTCCTCTGCAAGCCCCCAGGTCTGAGATCCAGCCCCATTCTATGATGCTTCCCGAGGGGGGCAGCCTTTGTGAAATTATTCAGCAGTGGGGTGCAGTGAGTATATATAAACACAATAAACCAGATTAAATCTGTCCCCTTTGGAGTTCCTCAAGAGAGAATTTTGAAATGATGTTATTTTAATAATTTTTGATGAGGATGGTTTATTTAAAAGCACTGAAAAATATCATACAATATTCTGTAAAAGTAAAAGAATGTTTATGCAAATATAGTGTATCTTGAATGCTAATCATGAAAAACTATGTCATCATACACAATGCTTTCAGAGATTGAAATTGAGATAGAGTTGGTATCCACTGATCCTCAGTCCCATTAGGCGTGTGTGTGTGTGTGTGTGTGTGTACACACATACACAATCTATGTGAGTTGTAGTTTCATGTACTGTGAGTCACTGAAGATTTACTGACTAGTCTGAGAGAGCCTATCTCCCATTTGATTCAGATGGAGAAAAGCTACTTAGCGTGGTTCTGGGGTGGTATGGACTGCCTGTAAACAGAACTGGCAGAATAATAAAGTTCAGATACCCACAAATCAGATCTACAGATAAACCAAACCCTGTGTTACAGACAGAAGAAAGCCAAAGAAGAACCTGTGACCCTCCAGGGGTCAGAGGCCCCACTCACTGTCTGTGAAAGCAGTAGAACAGTTGTGAGCAGGAGTGTGTGTGTGGGGGGGGCGTAGACAATGCTGATGAGCCCCACACTGATAAGCATCGTGTCAGGAAACTCCACTATGAGTGAGCGTGGGATGAGTGAAAGATTGTGTATGTGTTGTCCTGCACTGTTCAGGATGTCACATCCCCAAATGTTCATGACCAAGACCTGGTCAGGCTGTGCCCTTCCATGGCTCTGCTGGACATTGTTGTCTATCATTATTCTGTAAGTGAATTTCCTCTCCAGAAGGGACTCTTAGAGCTGAGTGATGATGAGCTTCTGATTGGTAGTGTCCTCTTGCACTACAAGCTGACCCTGACTCCCTCTCTGCCTCCCGACTCTGGGATTACCTGGCAGATCACTTTCTAGTCTTCCAATCCAGACCAGGACATCCCTTCTCCTAATTTCTTGGTAAGAATCCTTAGGCCTGAGTGTGTCTTATGTTCCCTGAACATTCTAGTCCTATCCCAGTTTCTGAAGCAGTGCATTTCGTCTTTGGCTTGGTTATTATTGTTGAGTTTCAACAATAGGAGCTTTAGCATAAGCCCTCAAAAGAAGGAAATTGAGAGGGTTTGGCATCCTTCTGCTGCAGTGGACAGAAGCATTAGATCTGGATTGGAAGGTCTGCGTCAGTCTTTGGGCATTTACTTGGTCATCATTTGCTTGTATGAGTTGCTTGGAATTCTGTTTTATAATTTATTTTTATCTTCAGTGCATTGGTGTTTAAATGTATGCCTGTCCTGTCAGAATCCCTGGGAATGGACTTCCAGACGGTTGCGAGCCGCCATGCAGGTGCTGAGAAGTGAACCCAGGTCTTCTGGAAGAGCAGCCTGTGCCCCTAACTGATGAGACTTCTCTTCATCCCTGCTTAGATTTCTTATCACCAGAGACATCTGTGTCTTTCAGGATCTCTGGAGAACCAGGGTGATCCAGAGGTCTACAGAAGACTATCTGTGATCACTATTTTTTATAAGCAATTTATATGCATAATAAATATGTTTAAATATCTAGAATGATTTCTCACTTCCTGGCTAATCTGTCACAAATATTCTTACTTAATAATATAAGAAATGATCCCAAATATGTAAACTTAAATGAAAAATGTTTCAAATATATGATAATCATACAAAAGCTCCTAAAGTATTCTGTTTGAGCATGTAAAATAGAAATTGAGGCCCTGTAGAAAAACATGTTTCATTAGAAATACTAACTTCAGAGGGGGTAAACAAAGTGATATAATTACTACAAAAATAAAAATATATAAACATCTAATTCTTACAAAAACAAGATTCTTAAATGCTTCCATTGTAAATTCTATTGAAAGTTGAGAAACAAAATACAAACATTACATCAATTACTTCAATTGCTTCAAAGTATAAAAAATAAACATTTCCAACATGGAAAGAAAATAAATTTTGTAAATTTTATCACATAAAAGAAAACTACATTTGGTCTATACTTCAGAACACTAATATAGAAGATACTTCTGAGCTTGGGGATAGCAGTGTCTAATGGCCTGTTGGAAAAGAATGTAAGGATGGCTGGCTGGCTGTAAGAACTGTGAGCACATTTCACCACAAAGTGAATCACAAAGCAAACCCTAACTTAACTGCAGATATCATAAGCTCTACATGTGAAATTCAACTTCCATTTTTGATAAAAATAGATGCTTATACTTTAATTAGACCTAGAACTTAGTATTATGAGAGAATCAAGGAGGATTTTCAAGGACATGAATAATAAAATCATTTTAATTATGAACCCTGTCAGCTAAAAGTATCATGGGAATGCTGATTTAGACAATGAGAAAAAAGGCTACAAACAGCAAGTGGAGAACACATGTGTATGGTTGCATGTCTAGAACAGATATATCATTGCATGCCTAGAACACATGTGGTATGGTTGCATGTAGAGAAGAACTGGCTGTGCCCACCAGGGTAAAGCCGGGGTTCTGTGCCCAGGGCCCAGAATAGACACTTGGCCTTAGCACCTTATCTTATGCTAAGATAGTAAATCTATTAGGTATTATGTCTTTCTGTCCTGATATTTCTTATCATAGTCAATATAGTTTTTACACCATGAAGTTTTCTGGAGGATTTGAGTATATGAGTTGGTGACAAATGACAGTTAATTTCATCAGTAAGGTTGATTAGAAATCACACTCTCCATCACTATATTTTCTATATATGAGTCTGTTTCTCATCACTCATGGCCTGGTTTCATTCAGTTACCCACACACCACTTCTGGGGTAGTATAAGGAGTGTCCTAGCTTCTCCACAGGAGAGAGCTAACTCTGGGCACAGGATGGCCCGTGTGTAGCTGGGCTGGGCATTTGTTCCCTATACTCCACCTCTGGGGCAGCATGAGAAGTGACCTACCCCCTCCACAGGAGACAGAACACTCTGAGTGTATGATGGCCCAAGTGTAGTTGGGCTGGACAGCTGGGGTCTTCTCATTCATTGACCTTGGCAGTGAGAATTCCCAGGCCACACCAGGGTTCCTACCCTGGAATAAAAGCTGCAGAAGAAGAAAGAGAAAACATTAAGTGAATTAGAGTAGCATCAATGACTCTCTGATAACTATTTTGGTTTAAACTATATAGAATAATACCTTATAATACTAATCACATGATAAAATACTGTCTATTTTCTAAAATGCCCATTGAATACAAGCAACAAAATTATCTCCCCAAAATGAGTAAGAATACACACAAATGAATGAGTAAATAAAAACTATAAAACCTATGGAGAACTAAAGACATTTAAATACAAGTATGAACTGAAGCAAGACATGGCCATTGGCAGCCATTGCAGAGGATAACTAAGCTTAACACATAGACATTATGTGTAGCTTAACACATAGACAAGGAGGAATGGCAGAATCCATTAACAACATTAAGAATAAGTCTCAGGTGGGGAAGAGATTGGAAAAGGAAAATGTAGGAAAACACTACAAAGTCCCACACAGTAAATCACCAAAACCCTAATATGAATCAAGGAGAAAGAAATGCGAAAAATAAATCAACTAAGAAAAGAACCAATAAAATTACAGGACTCAAATCCCTCCCAATAGAAAACCTCTAGGTCTCCAGTTGAAGATGTGGAATAGCTTGTTGAACTAAGCAGCAAGCAAGGATTGTTTGTAAGAAACTGGCCAAGATGCATCCGTACTGAAAGTGAAGAAATGGAAGTTAAACATAAAAGAAGCAGGGACAGCTATCCTCTCTGATAAACTGACACTAAGCCCAAATTAGGAGAGACAAAGAAGGTCACTACATATTAATAAAGAAAATAACCCATCAATATGCTATAAGCGTCATACATGAGCCTCAAATACTGATAAATCCTAATTCATGAAACAAACAGAAATAGACATAGAGGCACTGACTGGTCCAGCTGCAGTAGAGTGGGTGACCTCAATGCCACACTTTCCCTGAGTGTAAACACATACTGAGTAACAGACAACAACAACAACAGCAAAAGCAACAAACAAAGTTCAAACTCGTGCCCCACCACAGATCTTAGGAACTTAACAGACATCTACCAAACACATCATCCAAGAGACAGAACAAACCACTCTCAGCAGCCACTGGGAATTGTTAGAAAATGTACACAAAGCATTAGCTTTTCTCCAAATAGTGAGCAAGCCAAGAAAGAAGTCAGGAAAGCAAACACATGTAATCATAACCCCCCCCAAAAGAATTCCTAGGAATAAAGATAACTGAGTGACTGATGTACCTCAATACAGATAACTTCAAAATACTTTATTAAAAAAACTTGAAAAATAATAAACTACATATCATAAAGACATGATGGTTTGACAGAATTAATACTGTGAGAACGGCCACACCATCAAGAGCAATTTACAGATGCAGTACAATCCTTGTCAAAATTCCAATGACACTCTCCACGGAGGTATGAGAAATAATTCTGAAAGTCACCAGGCAGCATGTAGCATCCTGGACGGCCAACACCACCTGCTCAAAAAGAGTGAGACTGGGGACCTCAAAATATCTCATTTAAGCTTATACTACAGAGCCATAGCAACAAAAACATCATGTTACGGGTCAAAAATGGGTCTTGAGACCATGAAATAAATAGAGACAAAAACATACTCTTTCTGAAAGAGCATCCTGACTTTCAACAACTTTCCCAACACATACACTGAGAAAATGCAGTGTCTTCAGTGACGCTAGGAAAACTGCATATTTATGTTAGAAAAATTAAATTGGACCTATGACTTTCATCTTATATAAAAACTCACATAATGGGTCAATGACTTCAGCTATAAGATTGGAATCTCAGAAATTGCTAAAAGAAAACAGAGAGACTACACTCACAATATCATTGTAGGTAAAAACTTCGGAAAGGCTTCCAAAGTTCAAGAAATACCAAAAGCAGCCAGGACTTCTGTGGGTCTGGGTGTAAGTCTGGGACCTCCAAGGGAGTAAACAGGAGCCAGAGACCTTTGAGGGATGAAGCTCAAGCCAGGGACTTCTGTGGGAGTGGGCCCAGACCAGGGACATTTACGGAAACAGGATTGAGCCTGCTACCTAGCCCGGAGCAGGCCTGAGACAGCGAATTCCACAGGAGAAGGGACAAGGGAACAACTGCTGAGGGAGTGGGCAGGGACCAGAGACCTCTGCCGGTCCGGGCATGAGTCTGGGACCTCAGAGAGAATAAGCCTGAGCCAAGACTTCTGTAGGTCTGGGTGTAAGTCTGGGACCTCTGAGGAAGTAGGCAGGAACTAGAGACCTCAAGCATGGACGATATAATAGAGGAAATAGACTCAATTGTCAAAGAAAGCATTAAATCTAACAAAAACTTAACACAAAATATCCTGGAAATATGGGACACCGTGAAAAGACCAAACCTAAGATTAATAGGTATAGAAGAAGTCCAAGTCAAAGGCACAGAAAATATATTTAACAAAATCACAGAAAAAAACTTTTCCAACATAAAGAAAGATATGCCTATGAACATATAAGAAGCATACAGAACACCAAATAGACTGAATCAAAAAAAGTCCCCTTGCCACATAAAAATCAAAACACTTAACATGCAGAATAAACAAAGAACATTAAGAGCTACAAAGGAAAAAGGCCAAGTAACATATAAAAGCAGACCTATCAGAATTACACCTGACTTCTCAATGGTAACAATGAAAGCCAGAAGGTCCTGGTCAAGCCTTATGCATACATTAAGAGACCACGGATGCCAGCCCAGATTACTATACAAAGCAAAAATTTCAATCACCATAGAAGGACAAAACAAAATATTCCATGATAAAAACAGACTTAATCAATACTAGCCACAAACCCAGCCCTACACAAAGTACTAGAAGGAAAATTTCAACCCAAGGAAGTTGGCTACATCAACAAAAACACAGACAATAGATGATCTCACAGCAGCAAATTCAAAAAAGGGAAAACACACAAAATAAGATCTCCAACAACAAAAACTAAATTAACAGGAGATAACAATCACTGGTCATTAATATTCTTAATATAAATGGACTCAGCTCACCTATAAAAAGGCACAGGCTAACAGATTGGATACGATAACAGAATCCATCCTTCTACTGCATACAAGAAACACACCTCAACCTCAAAAACAGATATAACCTCAGTGTAAAGTGTTGGGAAAACTTTTCCAGTCAAATGGACCTAAGAAACTAGCTGGTATAGCTATCCTAATATCAAACAAAATAGTCTTCAAACTAAAATCAATCAAAAGAGACAAAGAAAGACATTTCATATTAGTCACAGGAAAAATTCATCATGAGGAAATCTCAATACTGAACATCTATGCCCTGAATACAAGGGCACCCTCATATGTAAAAGAAACACTTGTAAATCATACATTAAACCCAACACACTGATAGTGGGAGACTTCAATACTCCACTCTCACCACTGGACAGGTCAGTCAGACAAAAGATTGACAAATAAAAAGGGGAACTAATAGAAGTTATGACTCAAATGGACTTAACAGACGTCTATAGAACATTCCATCTAAACGTAAAAGAATATACCTTCTCGGCACCCCATAGAACCTTCTCAAAAATTGACCATATACTAGGTAACAAAACAAACCTCAACAGATTAAAAAAATTGGAATAGCCCCATGTATCTTATCAGATCACTATGGCTTAAAATTAGAATTCAATAGCAACACTAATAACAGGAAGCCCACAAACACATGGAAATTAAACAATGCTCACTTGAATCATCAATGGGTCAAGGAAGAAATAAAGGAAGAAATCAAAGACTTCCTAAAATTCAATGAAAATAACCACACAGCATATCCAAATTTGTAGGACATAATAAAAGCAGTGTTAAGAGGAAAGTTCATAGCACTAAATGCCTACATAAAGAAGATGGAAAAATCCCACACTAGTGAATTAGAAGAACATTTGAAAACTCTAGAACAAAAAGAAGCAAACTCACCCAGCAGAACTAGATAACAGGAAACAATCAAATTGAGAGCAGAAATCAACAAAATAGAAACAAAGAAAACAATACAAAGAATCAATGAGACAAAGAGTTGGTTCTTTAAGAAAATCAACAAAATAAACAAACCCTTATCCAACCTAACCAAAAAGCAGAGAGAGAATATACAAATTAACGAAATCAAAAATGAAAAGGGAGACATAACAACAGACACGGAGGAAATCCAGAGAATCATTAGGTCATATTTCTAAAACCTGTACTCCACCAAATTGAAAAACATAAAGGAAATGGACATTTTCTGGATAAATATAACTTACCAAAATTAAATCAAGACCAGATCAGCAAATTAAATAGACCTATAACTGCTAAAGAAATAGAAATAGTCATCAAAAGTCTCCAAAGTCAAAAAAACCAAAAACAAAACAAAAAACAAAACAAAACAAAAAAACAACCCAGGACTAGATGGTTGCAGTTCAGAATTCTACAGCATTATCAAAGAAGAACTAATACCAATACTCCTCAAATTGTTCCACACAATAGAAACAGAAGGAACATTACCAAACTCTTTTTATGAAGTACAATTACCCTGATACCCAAACCACATAAAGGCATTACCAAGAAAGAGAATTGCAGACCAATCTCACTCATGAACATTGATGCAAAAATATTTCATAAAATACTGGCAAATTGAATATAAGAACTCATCAGAACCATCATCCACCATGATTAAGTCAGCTTCATCCCAGAGATGCAGGGATGGTTCAACATATAAAAATCTGTCAATGTAACCCACTATAAAAACAAACTGAAAAATAAAAACCACACGATCATCTCATTAGATGCCAAATAAAGCCTTTGACAAAATATAACATCCCTTCATGATAAAGGTCTTGGAGAGACCAGGGATACAAGGAACAAACCTAAACATATTAAAGGCAATATACAACAAGCCAACAGCCAACATCAAACTAAATGGAAAGAAACTCACAATGATCCCACTGAATCCAGGAACAAGACACGGTTGTTCACTCTCTCAATAGCTATTCAATATAGTTCTTGAGGTCCTGGCTAGAGCAATAAGACAACAAAAGGAGACCAAGGGCATCCAAATTGGAAAATAAGAAGTCAACCTCTCGCTGTTTGCTGATGATATGATAGTTTGCATAAGCGATTCCAAAAATTCTACCAAAAAACGTCTACAACTCATAAACACTTTCAGTAATGTAGCAGGATACAAGATTAACTCAAAAAATCAATAGCCCTCCTTTACACATGATAATATGGCTGAGAAATAAATCACAGAAACATCACAATAGCCACAAACAGCATAAAATATCTCAGGGTAACTCTAACTAAGCAAGTGGAATACCTGAATAACAAGAACTTTAAATTTTTGAAGAAAGAAATTGAAGAAGACATCAGAAAGTAGAAAAATCTCTCATGTTCTTGGGTAGGTAGAATTAACATAGTAAAAATGGCAACCTTACCAAAAGAATTTTACAAATTCAATGCAATGCCCATCAAAATCCCAGAAAAAATTCTTCACAGACCTCAAAAGAATGGTACTCAACTACATATGAAAAGTAAAAAACCAAGGGTATCGAAAACAATCCTGTACAATAAAAGAACTTTTGGAGGCATCACAATCCCTGATTTCAAACTCTACTACAGAGCTACAGTACTGAAAACAGCCTGGTATTGGCATAAAAACAGACAGGAGGACCAATGAAACGGAATCAAAGACCCAGATATTAATCTACATACCTACAAACAACTGATTTTTGACAAAGAAGCAAAACATATAAAATTGATAAAGAAAGCATATTTTATCAACGGAGCTGGCATAACTGGATATCAACATGTAGAAGAATAAAAATAGATCCATATCTATTGCCATGCACAAAACTCAAGTTCAAATGGATCAAAGACCTCAACATAAAGCCAGTCACACTGAACCTCATAGAAGAAAAAGTGGGAAGTACACTTGAACGCATTGGCACAGGAGACCACTTCCTAAATATAACTCCAGTAGCACAGACACTGAGAGAAACAATTAATAAATGGGACCGCCTGAAACTGAAAAGCTTCTGTAAAGCAAAGGGCCTGGTCAACAAGACAAAACAACAGCCTACAGAATGGAAAAAGATCTTCACTAACCCCACACGAGACAGAGATCTGATCTCCAAAATATACAAAGAAATCAAGAAATTGGTCATCAAACGAACAAATAATCCAATAAAAAGAGACCTAAACAGAGAACTCTCAACAGAGGACTCTAAAATGGCTTAAAGACACTTAAGGAAATGCTCAACATCCTTAGCCATTAGAGAAATGCAAATCAAAACAACTCTGAGATTTCATCGTACATAAGAATGATTAAAGTCAAAAATAGTGATGGCAACTTATGCCGGAGAGGTGTGGGGTAAATGGAACACTCCTGCATTGCTGGTGGGAATGCAAGCTGGTACAACTCCCATATATCAGTATGCCAATTTCTCAGAAAATTAGGAAACAACCTTCCTCAAGACCCAGCTATACCACTTTTGGGTACATATCCAAAGGATGTTCAATCGTTCCACAACAACATGTGCTCAACTTTGTTCATAGTAACATTGTTTATAATAGCCCAAACCTGGAAAAAAACCCTAAATGCCCTTTAACTGAATAATGGATAAGGAAAATGTGGTACATTTATTCAGTGGAGTACTACACAGCAGAAAAAAATTACATCTTGAAATTTGCAGGCAAATGGATGGAACTAGAAAACATTATATTGAATGAGGTAACCCAGAGCCAGAAAGACAAATATCATGTGTATTCACTCATAAGTGGCTTTTAGACATAAAGCAAAGAAAACCAGTCTATAATTCACAATCCCAGAAAACCCAGACAACAAAAAAAGACCCTAAGAGAGACATACATGGATCTAATCTACATGGGAGGTAGAAAAAGACAAGACCTCCTGAGTAAATTGGGAGCATTGAGACCATGGGAGAGGGTTGAAGGGGAGGGGAGAGAAAGGGAGGGGAGCAGAGAAAATGTATAGCTCAATGAAATCAATTTAAAATGTAAAATTAAAAAAAGAAAGAAGGGAAAAAAGAAATACCAAAAGCTGGTGAATGGAACTGCACAATATTAAAACAAACAGCAAAGTAGATAAAATAAAACCAGAATAGGACAAAATAAACAAATTATTGCTATCATCATCATTATTATATGTCTTTTTTTCTAATGAGAGAGAAAGAAAGGGTATGGAATTGTGTGGGTGGGAAGTGGGAGGATCTGGGAGGAGTTGAGGAAAGGTGAACTGTAATCAGAATACACTGGATGAAAAAAATCAATCAGTAATAAAACAGCCCAGCAAAAGAAACAATCTCCGCACTAGGAGACAAAGTGACAGAAAGCCATTGTTCATATGCACTGGATCACTGAGTAATATCTAGTATGCATACAGAGCTATGGAGACCAATCATCTAAACTCAGACCATCCAGTCAACATACAAGCAAATGACAGTTACCTAAATCAAAACATAGAAATGACCAACACAAGCTGGAAAGTGTCCGACATTCTTATCCACCAAGGGAATGCAAATTAAAACTGCTCTAAATTTATCACTGCTGTCAGACAATGACTATCCTCACAATTACCAGTGATAGTTAATGGGCATTGTCATAGACACAGAGAAAGTGGAGCCATGATGGACTGCCATGGGAAGGGAAGTGATGAAGCCACTACAGATAGCAGTGTGAAGTTTCCTCACAGCACAGAACTAATACTAGAATACCATGTGTGTATACCAAAAAGAGTCTAAGTCAGTACACCACAGAGATGATCCAAGTACACATGGTTATTGTAGTGCTACGAACATTCACCAAGATGCGGAATTAGCACAACTGTCCGTCCACAAGCAAGTGGTACATATACTCAACTGGGCTTTATTTAGCCAGAAAGAAAAATAAAATTACAGTATTGAGAGGGAAGTGGCTAGAACTGCAGCAAATAATAGGCAGATAAGCCCATCTTAGGATGGTAAATATTCATGTTTTCTCTCATATCTGTGATGTTCACATGTATGCACACATATGTGACATGAAAGTAGAAGGTTGATGTAGTGACAGAATAAACATAATAAGATGGGAAAGAGAGAAATCAAGACAAGAACAGGAAGAAAGACAAAATACCACCTTCACATGTGATTTCTGCGTAACACCCATCTTTTTGTCTGTCTGTCTATCGTCTATCTATCTATCTATCTATCTATCTATCTATCTATCTATCTATCTATCTATCATCTGGCTATTTATATATCATCTATCTACCTATCATCTCTCTGTCTGTCTATCATCTACCTATCATCTATTTATAATCAATCTCTCATTTGTGTATCTATCTATCTATCTATCTATCTATCTATCTATCTATCTATCATCTATCATCTGGCTATCGATATATCATCTATCTATCTACCTATCATCTATCTGTCTATCTATCATCTATGTATCATCTATTTATAATCTATCTCTCATTTGTCTGTCTATCTATCTATCTATCTATCTATCTATCTATCTATCTATCTATCTATCTACCTACCTACCTATCCTTCTAATCTACCTGTCTATATATCATCTATCTATCTATACATATATCAATCATCTATTTCTATTATCTATCATCTTTTTTTAGCCAGCTATGACATTAAATCAGAAGGAGGTCTATGTGGATAGAGGACAGTATGAGGGGAAGAGGGACAAGAGAGGGTAATGAGGGCATGAACACAAGGCACAAAGACACACGTCCATAAATAATATAGCAAAACCTTTAAGCTTGTGGGATAACTAAAATACTAATTAAAACAAAGCAGCTATCACCCACAAAATCTACTGATAAAGACCCAGAGACAGTAACACAGGTAAGTACATATACACATTCATACACTAAGCAAGGGAAGACAATAGCCATAAGTCTACTGCCCCCTTGAGCCTGCTGGATGGATTGCTCCTGTTTCTGATCGCTACAATTCTACATCCAGTTCAGACCACAGCGAGAAGCTGACAAAAGCTCCAGGCCACCAAATCCAGCCCCAGAACCAAAAGCTGGTCTCTACCTCCACAATCAGTGTTTCGTTGGTTGGTCCAGTGGAGGTTAAGCTCTCAGGCTTCTTGTAGGACCGTCTGTAGTTGAAGGCGGTACCTGAAAACTTGTATCGTCCAGGCCAGTCCACACTCCAGTGTCCGTTCAGGTAGTATTTCTTGAGAGAATTGCGCACAGAGATGTAGGAAGTAGATATGTTGGTCTCATAGATACGAATGCTCCGAGCTCCAGGCGGAATCGTAACTACATGGTAGTACCCTGGAGAGAGAATGTAGCATTTAGTTTAACCTAGCTTCCCCATAATTGGACGTGAGAGCCCATGTTTAGAGCTGGTGGATGTGCTGCTAGCTCTGCTTGTCCTTTTTCAACAGTTGGAGGAGAGGTCTTGTAATCTGAAGCCTTCCCAAGGATCATTTTAGCTCAAAAAAAACTAGTATCCACTTCTAGAAAAAATCAGAAGCCCCAGAACAGTGGTTCTCAACCATCCTAATACTGTCACCCTTTCATCCAATTCCTCATGGTGTAGTGATCCCCAGCCATAAAGTTATTTCTATTGCTACTCCGTAGCTATAATTTTGCTACTGTTATGAATTGTAATTTAAATATCTGTGTTTCTGATGGCCTGAGATGATCCCTGAGAAAGGGTTATTCAATCCCCAAAGAGGCTGCAACCCATAGGGTGAGAACCGCTGCTTCAGAAGCAAAGGTAACCTCACAGTGAAGACCTTAATACTCCAAGCTCTCGCTGTTTCCTCTCCCTCAGCCCCTCCTAGCAAAAGCTCTGACTGAACCCCTTTCTCAGGTGTACATGGCTCACAGTCACTCACGGTTGGTACGGTGGTGTTTACTGTAGAGTCCCCTGTGCATCGTGCAGTCTGAGTTATTCCCCTTGCAGACCCCACAGGAGTCCTCGGCAGCATCTGACCCAAGAACATAGTCACAGCCAACCTTCTGAAGGCCCCACAAGGTCACAGATCATTCATGGAAGAAAGGACAACACAAGCAACAACATCACCAACCTCATGACAAAATATTCCTCCCGCTCCAGCTGAACACGTTTCCAACATAGAATGGTTGACAAATTGGTGTTGGATACCCAGTGCGTGCGCAGCATGGCTTGTCCTGGTCTCCTGGCAGCTTTTCTTGGGATGTGCTATCTGTCTTCTGTCGTGTTCACCCCCACTTGAGCCCTCAGTTAAAGCTCTAGATTGCACCGCAGTGAATCTCAGAGCAATGCTGACTTGGTAAGATGACTGGCAGTGTGTTCACACAAGGCTCTGCTGAAGTGAGCACATAGATGGGAGCGATTGACACCACCCAGAAATTCTCCCCATCAGTGATGTGTACAAGCAAGATCTGTGCAAGGTTGTGTAAGTTAAGGTGCTTATCGCGGTTTCTATAATGCTTGCTGGCTTCATATATCCTACCACGGTGTGTCTCGGAATAGCATCCATTCAGAAACAAAGCCATCGCGGTCATAGTCCCATGCTGGAAATCCTCAGGGCCAGACATATTTTGTAATGCTGTTGTGTGTAATTTAAAAAGGTCAGCTGTATCAAGTCTGTCATGTGCTTGGGTCTCCATGGGGCTTGAAGCTGCCATATTCTATAGATTATACATTGATATGTCTACTGCAAATCTCTACAAGAAGTGGGAAGAAGAAAACCCACCAACAGTCATGTGTGAGAGAGAAGATTATGCGACCAAATGAATTCAGGTCTCCCAAATTTCTCATAGACTTTTGGGTTAGTGTTCTAGACTTTGGGTTTTGGAGTTGTTTGAATCCCCTTGCCCTGCTGCCGCTGAGGTCTGGACAGTCCTCATGTGAAGATCACTATGATAGCTAAAAGTGACTCCTCACTGACTTCTCACAACTCTGCCAAGAAACTGTACCCCTTGCAGATCTGCTGTCCCCAAACCCAATTTCTAATCTACACGGCAGTGATCATCCTTGGTGAGTTCTTGTTCATGCCCTTATCCTCTCATAACCCCAAGATCCCGACTGCCTTCTGAGTACCCCCTTGGCTTCCTAATACCCCCATGTTCTGCTCTCATCTCAGTACCCTTTGGCTCCAGGGCTCCCTTCCAGACAGAGCTCAGGTGTGGGCACTCCCTCCTCCTAGGTCCCCATGAGTGCTCCACACCCACACCTGCCAATCAGCTCTCCCCTCTGCTCATGCTCTGTACACACCTCCGTCACAAAGCAGTGCCATCAGCATGAGCTCTTCTGGCTTTTCTCCCCCTGGGCTGGGACTTGGAGGGAAAGGGCTCCTCTCTTTTTTCTGGTCTTTCTAGCCCTTACAGGATGCCTGGCACAAAGCAGACTGTCTGGAGACATTTGGTGAATGAATAAGCAATCGTTATTACCTCACATATCCCATCTATACAAACATTACGGCTATCCTCCGAGCATGGAGTCCCATCTTTCACTTTATTTGACAAAGAAAAGAAGAAATCAAATCCTTCTGCGATACAGTAGAGTTTGCATAAGTCCTGATCTTAAAAAGAAATACACACACAAACACAAATAGAAAAAAACTTCAGCTCGGTTATTTTTGCTCTGAGGTTTAGATAGATTTTTCTTTGGTTGTCTCCCCCATAAAATAAGTCCCACACAATAGCACATTTCAAATACTTTTTTTAAAAAAAGAAAAAAAGACAGAGCCTCACCGTGTAGCCCTGTTTGGCCTGGAATGTGTTAGTAGACCAGGCTAACCTTCGACTCATATAGCTCTATCTGCCTCTACTTCCCATGGGCAGGATTAAAGGTGTGTGCCACCATTCTAGGCCTTGCAAAAAAAGTTTAATGTTTATCTTTGGTAAAAATTATTCAATATTATTTATTAATGCTTCACTGGTACTTTTTCTCTAGTATCCCTTGCCTGACAGCTCCTTTCTATACTTGTTGGCACATAGTAGGCGTTCATTAAGCATTTGTTGACTGGGCTACAGTGGTCATGATCTACTATATAAAGCTATGTTGCAGGAATGGAAACTGATGAGTCATGTTTTGTAACACTGTGCAAAATTCTTACACGTAAGATGCAACAAACATTAAACTTTGGCTTTAAACTGATAGAAGAAGTGTTAAATGAGATCCAGGGTGCAATGTGTTCTATAGAAAAACTGATAGAACCCCAGGGATCTGAGCTCCCCAAGGCTTTAAGGTTTTGCAGTTCATATGGCTAACTGAACCTTCTGCAGGGACCTCTTTTCTCTGGATGAAATCAGGACAGCTGCCTCTGGGGAGCCTCACGCTCTCAGGAATTTCCTCACGTCTAAGACTCGCTCACAGATTCTCATGCTATTTTTTCAAGATGGGAGAATTACCCAAGGATTTTAAAAATAAAACTTGCATGTACTTAATATGATCATTTGCCACAGACTAACAAAGTCAAGGGTAGCACACACTGTTCACCCTGATGTCATAGGTTAGTCCAGTTTCCCTCAACCCCTACAGACTGTTTTCCTTCCAGCTCAGGGCTCTGTTGATCATGTGTCTTAGTCTTAGTTTTACAGTTTATGCGTGAGATCCAAATGAAGTCTGCTTTGTGTGAGACTGCCTACAGCTCCCTACACAGGGCTGATCCCCCTAACCCCCTACCAGGAGCATATGCACAGAAGTGGTGGACATAGAGCCATAGGGACACCTCGGCTTATGTACTGCTCCAGAACACATGTCACTGGCCTGGACAGAATTCCGCGTCTCAAGGAATGAGATAATTAGACAATCTTTAAACATACTTGAGCCATGCCTCTTGAACTACCAACATTTTTATAGTGTTAGCTACATTATATCATATCATATCATCATGTTCACTTTTCTTTCATGGACAAGTGTAAATCTTATTCACTCTATGGATACATTTCTCACTGTATAGTAATAGAACAAGATTTCATTGTTCTAGTATACTTGAAAAATTATCTATTTTCTATAAAGCATACTAGAATTTTCTTTCAGCTTTTAATATCTAAGTATGTAGAGGGTGATGTGTTTCTAGTCACATCAGCATCGACTACAGTCATTTGTTTTTAATAGATACTCATTCAACATATTTGGCTTGTGGGCTTCTGGCTACCGATCAAGTGTAGGTAAGATGCAAGGGCAGTGGGGTGGGTCAGATCAAACCAGTCCTCTGAAAGAACCATGTTATGATGGCCTTTCAGACCTATAGTGTCTGCCCGTCTGAACATGGCAGTACTAGTCACATGATGTATTAAAATGGTAACAAGACATGGGGCCCCCTACAGAGTGGGACTGGAAACTTACCTTCCACTTGGGTGTAAGGCTTCCACTTGTAGAGCCACCCTCGGAAGTGCTTGCTGTTGTACTCGGCGCACTGGGCAGCACGGAAGTCTACACTGTCCAGAGGGCATTTCTGACTGTTGCAGAGCTTCAGCGTGCGTGCGGAGCCCTGGCAAAACTTCCCTCCATGAGATGGCCTGGAAAACATTTCGCAGCCAGAGATAAGCTCTTTCTGGACATTATGTTTACTGGGGTGATGTACAGCAGGCCGTGAAGGGAAGCATCCTGAGTCCATCCTGAGTGTTATGGTCCTGATGCTGGAGGACAAAGCAGAGTTCAAGATCCAGGTGTGTGTGCACTTGCTCCTTGTCCTCCAGCATCCTCTGGAGGAGGTAAAGCTCACCTCTGGAAAGTGAGCTGCCTTCACGCCCTATAGGGGGTAGGTTTGCGGCTGAGAAGGAGAATGGATTTCCAGGATGCCCAGTTGGAGGAAGATAATGAGGCAGGAAGTCAACATCATCTTCTTCCTTCTGCCAGATCCCTTATGACAGAGCCAGGACCAAGTCAGAGAATCACCGGACAGCCACGAGCCTGCTGATTTCTGGGAAATCTCTGAGTCTGAATGGGCACACTCAAGAGGACAGTGGAACCAAGGGTGACTTTGGGCCTCATGCTTTCCAGACAAGAGCAACAAAGTAGCATAACTTATTTCTGAAACAAGCCAGAGAGCCTTTTACTTGGCTGGGTAGGTTAACTATCTTTCTGGGTCTGGTCCCTGCAATTAGGCTACTTTGTTGTAAAAGTGAATATATTTGACAGAAAAGCAAAGGTTTTCAAGAAAGAGTAGTTCTTATTGGAGATTTCCATTCATACTCTATTTTCTTTTTTCTTTAAATTAAGTAAATTAAGTAGCCAGTTATATAGCATCTTAGTTTCAAGTCTTATAGTTAAAACCCAGTTCTGCCCTGGCCCTGCTGTCTCAGCTCAGTTATATTTTGCTGGGAGTCAGGAAGTTGTAAGCTTCATAAATCACATGAAAGCAAGAGAATCATTTTGGAAATGGAGTGGAATTCCCTTCTTAGCATCTCTACAGTATTGGGTAAGCGATAGTGCTGCTACTAACAAGATTGGGTGCTGCGGGGGGCTCATTCAGAAGGAAGCAGGTTGTGTACATACCTGGGGTTGGTACAGAGACGGTCTCTGTGAGAAACTCCTCCCCCACAGGTCCGGGAGCAGGGGGACCAAGGGGACCAATCTGACCAATGGCCATGGGTAGGCTTGGGGCCTTCATCACCGTACTTCACACACTGTCCTCCACGACACCACTAAATATTTTAAACATAAATTTAAAATCATTTCCATACGCCCTGCATAGTTGGATTCAATTCATTTCTCTTGCAGTGCCAAGGGGAAGGTGTCTTGTAAAATACGCCAACATTGGCACCTCTACATGCAAGTGGCATCTAATAAAGACACAGTTGTCATTTCTGCGTCTATCTTTCCAAACCCAGCATCACCCGATGAATCCGTGTAAGGGGGGATGTGTGGATCAGTCACTGCAGAAGTCTGAACGTCAGTGCAAACAGAACTGAAAAGCCAACATGGACATCTGGTTTGATTACTCATCTCTAAAGTCATGACCCCTGACTTCTGAGAGAAAAAAGAAAAAGGGTTCTTTTCCCAGCTCCTAGTTTGCATTTTGAAGAGAGTCTCAGGGTGGAAAAGTCCAGATGGAGAAGACTCAGGACTCTGCACCTTGTCATTTCTGGTCAACTTCTGGGTTTTACTGAAAAACACCTGGGCTCGGGGGAAACCAGCTTGTTCCTTTAGAACAGGTTAGGTATCACCCAGCTTTCTGCAGGGGCGAGGCAATTGCTCAGGAATCCAATGAGGACTAGGGATGCTACCAATACCCCTTTTGTAAAAGAATGGCTCAATACACACACACACACACACACACACACACACACACACACACACACTGCTACTTTGTGATTTTGTGTTCTGGAACCTTCTGTAGTATTGTAGTATGGACTTAACGTCAAGGAGCACAGTGATTCAGGATATCTTATTAAGAAAAGGGAAGATAGATGCCTTATCTGATTTGCTGTCTGCATTAAGTAAACAGGGCCTGGTTTATGGGCAGAAAGTGCAGGCAACACAGTTATCTCTAATATGAACCAATAGCTTGGTACTATGGTTCCATCATATTGTAGCCTATTGTAAAAACAATGCTACATCTGAAAAAGAAAGATGACAGCATTTCAATTGCCTAGTACTGGTGCATGGGCTAAACCACATCAAATCAGCTACTGATGTCTGGCCATTGTTGATCCATACAAATGGTTTCGATCAATATTGTAGAAATAGTAGGATACATGTGATATGAAGCAGGAAATGGAAAAAATGGGGCCAGGGACTCAATGGAGGTCAATACAGAAGGAGAAGGAGGGAAGAGATACAAAGAACACAAAGACTATTTGTTAACGCCTCAAGTAATCATGCTATTTTATATTGACGTAAAAATATACACAATACATATGTATACGTGTGTGTGTGTGTGTGTGTGTGTGTGTGTGTGTGTGTAGCTTAAAGAAAGTTATGTCACCAAGGCTGACAACGCCCTTCATAAAAACTGTAGACTAACAAAATTCTCTTGGTACCAGGCACTAGAAATCCACTTTAGAGTGGTTGGTCAGGATAGTCCTAGTGATCTCGAAACAACAGAAAATAGGGCAGTTGCCAATGCCTGATTCTCTGATGTTGAAGGTGAGACCCTGTTACTGAAGACACTACATAGTTAGGATACAGAACTTAGAAAATTTGAGTTGGATCTAACTTAAAATCTTCCTCTCTTAAATCTAGATCCCATGGTGCCAGAAAGTCCTATGCCAGGTGCTAAGAAAGGAAACGGTCTTACTGTGCTGTGACATCGCAAAGACCAACATGGCACCCAGCTGTGATACCACAACAGTGGCCCACATGACAGGATATCAGTAATGGTGCAGAGGACACCACTCACATGTGGGTGATTACCAACAACTGCCTGGCTGGACCTAAGCCCTTGTCACTATGGTACTAGTCACCTAGACAACTACCTGGGGCTAGTGAGGTCATGGGTCTCGAAGAGAATGTACCACCACCTCTTTGTTAGAGCAGCACCATTCCGAACTGCGTTCTAAATCCTATCTTTAAGTCTACGTGTAGGTATAGCTATCTCCCTTCATCTGAGGAGAACGCCGCAGAGAACCACAGCTGGGCACAGTGCAGAGAACAATCAGTTACGGGGCTTAGCCTCAGTGGATACATCTGTGGCACAGTGCTTGCCGTTACGGCTCAGGGAACGTCTCAAAAGAGGCAGAAGAAACTTGTAAGAGTCAGAATGCCAGGGAGCCTGCCCTGAATCAGTCTCTCATGGGAATGGCTGCATAACCAACATCTGAACTGGAACAAAGTCAATACACATGAAAACGTGGAAAGGGGACACTCTCATGGGGCCCAATCACTAGACAAGGAACTACAAGCAACTGGAAACTACTGGCAGAGATAGAGTTTGGCACTTCCAGGGATGAGAACCCTAACTGGTTGTCTAGTACAAAGTGCTTAGCCTTGAAACAATATACACACACACAATAAAAATGGGCTCAGCAGGTTGTGTATATGTACATATATAGGTTGTGTATGTATATTTGGGAATACATACATTCATTGTATATATTTATGTCATTTATACACACACACAATACTAATTAGGGAGAAGAGGTTATCAATTTGAGAGTGAAGGTACAGTCTAGAAGTGAGCAACCCCAGTCCCTCAGTTGGGCCCTATATTTTGTAAGAGCTGAGAAATTGAGCTAAGTAGCAGAAATGCATGCAGTCGCCTCTCTGCTCCTGACTGTGGACCTGTTGCAATGAGCTGTTTCCGCTGCTGTTGCATTGACTCTCATGCTTTGACGGACTCTAACCTGGAAATACGAGCTAAGTTCCTTCCTGTCAGGGTCTTTGATTATGCTAACAGCAATGTCACCAGGACAAGGCACCATGTGATCTTGGGCACAACACTGCCCATTCAGCCTGTGTTTCTGCAATATAACTCCCAAGAAACCACTTCCGCCAAACCAGTTCTAATTCTTTCCAACGTGAAGTGGGGAAAGGCAGCCTTTAAAATGTAAGGGAAAATAACCGAAACTACTATGGAAAATGAAACTACTTTGAAGCTAAATAAAACATAGCAAGAACGTGCAAGTTCCATTGAGGGAGCACAGCAGCTGTATTACCCAGAGAGGACAGTATTCACCGTGGAGAGCCCAGAGTGTCTGAAGTGACGGACAACTCAGTGTGACAATAGAAAGGACACACGTCTTTCCAAAGGAAGGCACGGTTGTGTCCCTCGTGCCCCGTTCTCACCAGTTCTCACTGCCATGTTTCCGTGTGGTCACCACACTTGAATGCTTGGGACCATTACATAATGTTCTTTGACAGTTAGAAGTTCCACAGCCAGTGTTTCCTTTAATTCATGGGCTATCTCAAGAAACTGACACTTTCTGTGAGACTGACTGGGAGTCAGGTGATCGGCGGCTGCTTGCATCACTAGAAGTGTTCAACTGTCCGTTGTGAAACTCGCTTCCAATGAGGGACACGGCTACAGAGCTAATTAGCATCATGTTAGACTGAGCAATTTCTGGAAGCTCCTCTCAGGGAAGCCCACCACCTTCTTTCCAGAAGTGCTTCCATCTGAATGTAAATTTGGCTCTGTGCCTGAAGCCAGATTCAAGTGTATCTGGCTTGTGACATACTTGGGAATTCAAACTGGATAGGTAAGTGACATGTTTACATACCTGTTTCTCTTTTTCTCCATTAGTATCATGATAAAGATCCACTGCACAGAAAATGGAAATCGGAAGTGATTGCTTTGGTACAAAATGTTTCTATTTTCACCAGTATCTTTGAGGCCAAAGCAGTACTGAACTGATACTGGTCCTTGTTGGTTGGGGGTTGGGGTTTCTCTCCCTTTTGTGGAGAACACCCAGCCATCTCCTACTGTCTGATGCTCCATCTACCAATTCTATATAGCTTATTAATAGAGAGATCAACATAGAAGAGTTACAGAGTCTTAGTAAGGATGTAGGTGTGCACGTGTGTATGGGAAATACTGGTTTTCAAATGCTAGTGTAAGAGGAGGGAGGGTGTGGGGGTTGCAAGATTGGGATCTGAGTGGAGGAGGCTGCTGGAGTCCACACCACACCATGTGCTGGTGCGGGAGAATTGTCTGTATTCTGTCAATCATGTATTTTAATAAAACGTTGATTGGCCAGGCAGGAAGTATAGGCGGGTCAACCAGACAGGATGTAGAGGTGATGCAATGAGAACAGGAGAATTCTGGGAAGCAGGAAGCTTCCTCTGGCAGTTCTGCCCAGACCACCAGAGAGGAAAGATGTAAGCTGCCCCACTGGAAAAGGTACTGAGCCATGTGGCTAACGTAGATAAGGATAATGGGGTAACATAAGTTATAAGAGCTAATAAGTAGCCTGACCTAATGAGATCTCTGTGTGATTGATTTTTCTCTGGGGTTTGCCGGCTGTGGGGTACTGAGCGGGACAGAAACCCCAACAAGCCGACCCGTCATGTTATAATGTGCTGTCTACACCGGGCACCCATGGGTGCCCTCTGCCCTCTGCTGCTGGAGTCCACTCCTCACCATGTCC